GGAGTGTGATTAAGTATCCCCTTTGGAGAAATGACTTTGACGAACCAGCCCTTTCTGCACACAGCTGTCAGCACTATTGTTTTAGGAATTCTTATAATTTCTAGCTGATCTACCCAGCTTCCTGGGAGAGAGGTCTGCACTACAGAAGCAAAGTAACTGAATAACTGACAGGCCCGGACAGAACCACAAAATAAAGCAGAAGAAGTGAATTTAAAGTTCAACTCGACAGGTCTTTGCTTTAAAAAAATTCATACTCTAATAGTAAGTTAAAATAATTTGATCAAGAAAATTAAAGTGTTTTTTTCTAGTGAAAAAACATTTAAAATAGATCAAAGTCTTGTTTTTGTTAAAAAAATCATAACACACACCTCATGTATTTTTGAGATAAAAAATATATTGTAAAACTTTTGCCATCATTATTACCTGATTTTTCCAAACAGATGTCCCTTTGAACTATCAGAATACTTTATAGTACAAGGTACAACGTAAGTACAAAAGAGGTCCAAAGAGTTACCTGTGAATACTTAGCCACTCTTACTGTTCTCAAGTCTATCTGAGGGCAGGTCTCATGTCCCACTAGCCCCGTGTTCCTTTGGGTCCATTGTTTACTTAGATATAGTAAACAATGAAAATCTGGGATAATTTGGGATAAAATCTGGTATTTTGGTTACCTTCTACAACTGTAGTATTAATCTTGTACTTAAAAATCAAAGAATCTGTGTACACATAGAATTTTTTAAACAACACAACTCAGAAACAATTTTAGTTGAAATGCAATACTGAGATCCATAGACAAAAACTGTCAAGTCTCTGGTGACCAGGGTCTCTCTCATCTTTAAATGCTCCAGAGTGCCTAGTGCACACCTACAAAATAGGTATTTGAATGTTTACTGAATTAAATTACAGTGTAAGACATATGAGAAGGTCTGGGTAGAGTATAAATTAAATTTTAATACATTGGAAATGAACCTATTTAATTTCTTTTTAATGAGTACTAAGTCCATATAATTCCAACTGAATTTTTATTTCTAGTATACTTGCTCTTTAATATCTAAAGAGGATGCAGGAAGACTGCATTTGAAATGCATACTTGAAATGGTTATAAAGCATTCACATGGTTTTTTAACAAGGCTTTTTTGCTCACCTTGTAAGAGAACCACTCATGGCTTGGCCTTAAGCAAGAGAAAGTCCCATATATAGCATTTTTAGTAGATGGGTTTTATTTTCTACTTCTAATCCAGGTTCTTCAATTCACGTCCAGCTCAGCTACACTGGGCCTAAGAATGGATTGCAGTATCAAATCTGAAATAGTCTTATATATCACAGAATAAATGTTATGGGTTTTCTTCAAGGTTCTCATAGTGGCATTTGGGAAAATCTGAAGAGGCAAAGTTTTATGTCTACTTGGCTAAAAGGGCCACAACACACTTTCATATGCAATGAACTCTTGAGTACAGTCCACTGGTTCCACTGATACCAAGTTCAAGTTCTATTAGGAGTGGAGACAGAAGACAGTCATTTAGGTGTTTTTTAAATGTGGACTTATAAAGCAATCCTCCTTGCACTAAGGGGACAGGTAAGTGGGCTATGGTCATCTGTCAAGAAGGACACATTTTCAGAAACAATTATTTTATGTAAGTGACCACCACTTTCTCAAAAGCTGGTCACTGATGAATTATCACCAAAATTTACTTAAGTAATGTTTAATGCTTGATGGGGACAGGGAGGGAGTTCGTGAATTCCTTATCTAGCTAATCTGACAGCAGAGACTACTGGAGATCAAACAGAAGATCCAGCTTAGTGGCCGATCCTGCTTAGCACCAAAGATCTAGAAAACAAAGACTTACACTGACAGGGAAAGTTTGCAGCAAAGGGTTGAGCTGTGTGCAAGTCAGGAACTTTTGCTCTCTCACATAAAGCAACAGAGCTTTCACCTGCTTAAAATTCAGTAGACTGGCACAGGTGGATGTTGGGGAATTTGACGGCCACACTTACGCTCCATTTCAGGGAGTGACACAGGGCTTCTTTAAATACTTCTGCTTAGGACTTGGCTGACGGGAGTGGAGGCAGGGAAATATTCTGGTTTCTATACAACTAAATAGCCAAGTTGAAATGCTGGAGTGAGTTAGGAATCTGGATAAGAGTCATCATTTCTTTTAACCCTTTGATATCAGCAAACTCAGCTCCATAAAGAATTGAGGAGATAAGGATGTAAGATTACAAGGTGCTTAAGATACAAAGGAGCGTATCTAGTCACAAAGTATTAACTCTTATAAGATGTATTCTGTAAGAGCAAATGACAAAAACACAATAATTAGGTAGCTAAATAAATCAGGATCCTTTCATGGAGATGAGCCTGCAATTTAAGGATACAAATGAGCTTCATAGGAGAGTAAAGTTACCATTGAAAAGACAAACCCTTTCTCTAATAACATGTACTAAAATAATCTGGCAAACCAAAGACACAGTTTACAATTTAGAGACAGGAAATGCTGAACATCATTATTCTACTTAATTTTATTACGTTTGAGAATAGTCAGAGGTTTCCAGTGTGTTAATAATCTATTCATGTAGCCATCTCTGGAGAACTACTGGAGGTGGCAATATTGGTTTAAAACTGCAACCAAAACCATACATGCTATTCTTTGATTTTTATAAACAATTCTAAATAAGAGGTTGCAGAGCAGGACTATTTTTCTAAGCAAATGATATGGCTAATTTCCAACCAACACAGTACATAAGCAGTTAATCCACTAGCAGAAGAACTTGTAGTGGTGCCTTTAGTCTTAACTGGGTTATTTTATTGTCTCCATTGGTGGGCAAAGATGGGCAGAAATCCCCCTGACAATTAGTCTGGGTGAAAAAGAAAAAGTCAATTTAAGAACAACTAATCATTCTGACAGGTTTAACATCATTTTAGTAACCCAAAAGGCAAAAGGTTGGTCAAAATGAATCAAACATTAAAAACAAGAGGATCAATATAGATAGAGTCTACAAATTTTCTAACTGTGATCAACTTTCATGGCTGACTAACCAAGACAACAGAGAGCTACAGAAGAAAAGGAGTGGTGGACTTAAGGTAAGGGAGACGGAGGCAATGAGACGGAACTAAATAAACAAATCAATGGGAGAAAAAGGGAAAAGCAGGGGAAGGGAAGGAAGAAAGATGATAGATACTGATGGCAATGAAATTGGTAGAAAGAGCATTGGCCTTGGTTCTAGGTAAGAACTGTGTAATAAAGCAATTAACTTAGCTCTTCTAAACCAGAGTCTCCCCGCTTCACACAGAACATTGTGAACCTAGAACTAAATTACCTCTATTGTTCCCTCGAACTCCAAAAAGCTAAGATTTTATGGTGGGGTTGGTGGTGAAGAGGGAAAGAATTCAGTGGTTGCAATATCCAGAAGAAAGTAAACTTAAAGTCTGCCTTGGCTTTAACAGCCGAAATGCCGATAATGAGGTAAGATCACAGGCGCACTTCAGTGCAGTGCTGCTCAACTCCAGTGTGCGTGAGAATCACCTGGGTGTCTATTAAAACACAGACTGCTGGCTGGGCCGCACTCTTGGAACTTCTTGTGCAGGAGGTCTGTGGTGGGGCACCAACATTTACACTTCTAACAAGCTCTCAAGTGATGCTGCTGCTGCTAGGCTGGGACTACACTTGGAGAAACACTATTCTGGGGAATAAGTGACAGAGGGCAAATAAACATGGCTATATGTGGAAAAAAGGCTGGCCAGATATCTCTTATTTCTTAGGGAGAAAAAGAACCTGACTGGGTGCGGTAAGGTGACTGATAAATAAATGCTGGATCAAGAAATTTGTTTCCTCTGCTGATCAAAGCTTTGTTGTTGACCAACGATTAACAGACAAATATAGTTACTTAATAAATAGTTTATAATATAAATTGCATATTACATTTGCCAAGTTCTTCAGAAACTTCAAAATTATGTATGTTTAAATATTCATGCAAAATCAGGATTATAAACTGGGAATTCTATTTATGAATCCTGAACGTCACAAAATAGTTATAATACATCATTTAACTTTTTAAAAGAAAATCCATGTTAACACTTAATTACATTTAGTAACTTTTCCTAATAGAATCAGGTGTTTTATAAGTTAACTCTTCAGATAATGGAACTTTAAACACAAACCTTTTAAAATCATTTTAGAAGATATCTTTCTGAATGGAAAACGTGACCGCAAGTGAAGCTTTCCTTCATTACTAACATCATATAACACACACAATGGCATCAGTTCTGTAATGAACTGAGTACCACCTCCTGGGCTGACGAGAGTTTATGTGAGGCCAGCTGCTTTGACACTGAATGAGTCCAGTGTTCTGTAGGTTTGCCATTTCTGCCATCTGGTTTATCTCGGCCACACCTGAGCTATTAGCTATTATTTCTCAGAGAACTCACCTGTTAGCTGCAGGTTGAATTGGTATACCTTCCCCACTTGGACCTAAGAGTGACTCCAGAGTAAGGAATATGCTTATGGGCTTTAAGATGTTATATTCTTGAGGTGGCTTTTTTTTGTTTGTTGGTTTATTTACTCTTAGATTTTCAGGCTGTTGCTGGCAGCAGGGAAGTGGGGCACTACTATACTTTGTGCATTTTTTTGGATAAAGTTTGCTGTATCAGAGACACAGAAGAACTAGGGCAAAGTTAGTGCATCTAGTAAGGGAATTATAATTCTGTTCACTTACAGGGTAACAATGTACCTTAGGTTACTTTTCCTGCCTAAACTAAAAACTTATCAACCTTGGAACACTATGTGTATATGTTCTAAACATTTCACTATCTTCTGTATAACTATTTGAAAGTAGAAAACTTTACAGAAACCAAAATTCAAGTCATCTACAAGGTAAAGAAGAAATAAGATGAATCTCATGATAAAAAAGGAGCAAAATCTGGTATAAATTGATAACAAGGGAATTCCTAATGTTGGTATAGTAATATTATTGCTCAAATTCATATAAAGATTACATTTACTGACCTGGGGAATGCTGGGAAGTTGCAAGTGAGGTCATGGAATTAGAAAGGTTAAGGTTAGCAGTAATACTAAGCTGGCTCTGCACTGCAGGAGGATAAGGAGATGTGGGTGTCAGGAGGGACTCCTCACTGGTTTCTTCATCAATTCCAGGCAAATACGTGTCAATCAAGGCATCAAGAAACTTAACAATAAGCTCAGCATAGTCAGGGATTTGTGTTTGCTGTAATGGAAAATAGGAAATTATTTTAGCTCCATTCTTTTTTTTTTTTCTTTTTTTAAAATCCCCTTTGAAGCCAACAAAGATTAATTCAATTGTAGCTTTGGGCTTAATTTACTATTTTTCTTCCTTTGTACTAAAGATCATTTAAAAAGGGGTGGAATAATATTTATAGACTACTACGGGACTTACAACTGGGAATTTTATTCAGCTTACACTTACAGCTTCCAGATGAACCTGCAATTACTGAAAGCCATACACAGACAAAGAGAACTAATCCTGAGACAATCCAATCATCAGGAATGATGTCTAGTCAATTTTCCAAAACAGAGAAAACAAGCAGAGCATCATTCCAGCTGCCATTTATAGAGATTCAACTATCTAAACACTGAAGGGCTCAGAGGGCTACTGGAAATCAAACTACAAAAATTCTTACATGATACACTTATTTCTGTGACTTCAGGCCCATTTTTTTTTAAATGACAGCCTTTGCATATCAAGAGACATTCAGTAATAATTAAACAAATCAAAATACTCAATTATTAAAATTAGAACTAAGTTAACACAATTCATATTGATTTAGCACCCACGTATCTACAACACTGCACTAGGGGGAAGAAATAGAAGTCCTGCCTTCAAGGAACCTCAATCAATTTGGAGAGAGACCACACACAGAGGGAATAATTAAATACACATTTATGTAGCACTACATCAACTAATGCCAATCCAAAAACAAGCTGAACAGAGCAAATGAGGATATATTCAGGGAAGAATGGATCTAATACAACAGGTTGAAAGGAAAAATGTTTCCATGAGTTAATTTTTTTGATTATGTAATTTTTAAAAATTGACGCTTAAAGAGACATACAACATTATATTAATTTCAGGTCATGAGGGAGATTTTAACCAAACAAAATGCTCCTTCCTAATCACAAGATACCTAAAAGTGTGTCATTAAGATCATCAATTACATGAGGGACTGAGGGCAGAAAAGTTTACAGAGGTTTATCAAACCTTTCTGAAAGGTCAAGCATAAATTGAGTTGAATTTTTTAAACTTTTTTTATTGAGTTATAGTTATTTTACAAAGTTGCATCAAATTCCAGTGTAGGGCACAATTCGAATTTTTTTTTTTGTAAAAACTAATATATAAACATATTAAAGGTGCTGCCTCTTGGAAAGAATCTTGTGGTAGAAAACTTTTAATAAAAATAACTTATGTGTTTATTGTGAATCATTCTGGTTTCCAGGATATTGTATGTTCTTACAGCAGGCACACTAATACAAATAAAAACTTTCATTTTGTCAATAGAGAAAAATATATTTTCTTACCTTTGAAAAGGGTCCTGCAAATCGCCACAGGCCATTAAAACCAAAACCTGCAACAAATCAAATGTTACCCTTAAAACAAGCATGACACTCTTTTAATCTTAACAGAAATTAAATAAGTTATATAGTTGATGATATACAAAACCTACATGTACAGTGAAAACATTTTTTTTTAAGAATGAGTGTCAAAGTAGACTAAAACTCACTGAAAACATACTCAGTATAAAAGCATATTTTAGTTAAAAAGTTGTCAATCAGTTATTGTGCTGAACACGTATTTAAGAGAGTCAGAAAACGGCATGGAAAGAGAGAGGTATGAACAAGCCTATTCCTTGTAAGGAATTCTTCAGCTGTGCATTCTTTAACAGCACACATGTTTCAAGTTCATCAGCCATCCTCCTCCCGGTACACTTATTTACTTTGCAGGTAAGACGTCTGGTATTGTGGTGGGGATTCTTCATGGTACACCACACTCTGCACAATTCCATGGATCGGATTTAACAAATTCGGATCTTGGCACAATGACAAGAGGGTGTTGATCTTAGAGTCCAACAAATTGTGCCTAAAAAATAAAAGTCAACAGAGAAACATTTTAAAGGAAAATTAAATGAATATATTTACTGGAAAACACACTATATATTCCATAGAACAATGTGATAAAAATGAAGGGAGATGAGTGCTTTTTCAAATTTTCTCTAATGAATTTGCGTGTGTTAGCTTTTTTGATTTGTCTTTCGTTTTGTGTATAGTCATCAGGGAAAATACGGTAAAAACCACCACCTAGCACTGTCCTATACTCATGTTTAACTATACATGGTGACTGCTCAAGACCAGGTTGGCTTCTGTCTGCCACTCAGCATGCTTTAGGACCATCTCTTTCTGCTGATTATTGATATGTACCCAGGAGTTAAAACTAAATTTAATATTAATCAGTGTTTAATAAATGCTAAATCAGATTGAATTAGCAAGGTTAGACCAAGAGAAAAACTAGTTTGGAGGGGGTGGAATATATGATCCAATTCAAACATGGGGAAATTAGCTACTTCCAACTCAGCTACACTCTACTAATAAAAATAACTAACAGCCAACTATATAAAATTCTGAAATTTTTAAGTGAGATTAAACAAAAATAAGGAAATAATGATAATACACAGAAGGCCTAGATCAGGAATAGAATTTCCAAAGTTTCTTTAGGTTATTTAGATTTGAACATTCTGAGGCCGGTATTATTTCGGCCCTTAAGAAAGAGTAAAATTCACCTCCCAAAGAAGAGATCAATTTTGTTTTCACTCAGCTGTGGGTAAAAACAAAACCTCTACTGAAAAAGAAACCAGAACTGCTGATTTAAATACAGCAGTCTTAACAGTTTTCTCCTAAGTGAGGAAATGAAAAATACCTACCACAACGAACAACATAAGAAAATCGCAAGATAAAAAATGGTTTTTTTGGTATTCAACAGGCCAAAACTAGTCTTAGATCCCATTAAACCCACTGTCTCTAAGCTAAAATCAGTATCACACTACCGCACAGTCCCCTCTCCACAACCAGTGAGCACTAGTGGGTGATATTTTTCCTTAGCTTTCATAAAGCATTTGACTTCAAGACAGACACAAAAGTTAAACACAAGTGGAGATACTTACACAACAGGAAAAACTTTTGGGAAAACAACACTGGCTTCTGCTAAGTATTCATAAAGAATTCGCTGATCAAACTCATCTGTGGTATATTTCACCAGAGTAGCCTGCAAAAAAGTAAACAAAAACCATTTTATTTTGTGACTAAATTGTTATCTGTTTTGGCGAAAAGCAGACGATGGCCTTCCTTTCATATTTTTAATATTTAGGGGCTTTTTAAGAGTAGATTGGACCAAAAAAAAAAATCCTACAAAAAGTGGAAAGCCTTACCAGAACAGTAAGAAGAAGTGCTTGGATTTTTGGATCAGTAAGTACTTCTTCGTCTAAGAGAACATTTGATTCAGACACTGAAACTTTACGTAAATGTGGGTGTTGTTGTGATGAGGAAATCCTTTGAGTTTCTGCAGTAAGATATGGATTAACACAATCAGCTGTATTAATTGAATTTAACATGCTAGATACTACTTCACCTAACATATTTTAATGTCACTTTTTAAAATGCAACAGCTTTTTAAAGACACTTAAAATAGCAACATAAACATCATACAAATTACTATGCACCTATACAAACGTCCTGGTTAGCTGTCTATAATGGCGTATATCACATGTATGATTTTTCTACACAGGTTTCAGGATACCTGTCATTGTAAGGACTGCATAGCTTATCTTTTGAAAAAGAGCAAATGTTTCTGTATTTCATCCTAATGATTCTAAAAAATGACTGGAAAGCAAATATGGCTTCAATGTACTCCCCAATCTTACTTTCAATGATCTAGATTAATTATTAACTTTGTTTCTCACCCATTTCATAATCAGTTTCTGCTACTCTCCTCATTTTGGGGGGTGTTGTGATCCCTGATTCCATTTCTTGCCTTTTAGGAGCCTTTGTGTCTGATATCAAGTGATCAAAACTTTTCCTTGTTCCTATAAACAAAAGTTACAGAATATGGAAGTTCATTAACCACAGTGTCTGTGAATAGTAATATACTAAAAAGAAAATGTTTGGGCATAAAGTGTTTAAGTTTTCACTTAAGGACCCAAAGAAAGCTCAGACATATCCCTAGGGCAGAGTTCCTGTCCTCTCCCTTTTTCTTCATCTTCTCAAGGCATTTTGGTCACACAGCTGTTCTGCTGGATGGGCTTACAGGTCCAAATTAAATTGAGATTACATTCACTACACTGGAGGTAAACCAAACTCCACCAACAGGTACAATATTTGATAATAAATGCAGAGATATGTGCTGTTCAGGAGCAAAGATCAATTATGTCTGAACTGCCTTTTTTCAATTTAAGGCATTCTGCTGGTGCCAAGACTGAGTTATTAACATAAGGAGAATTTCCAAAAGTAGGCAAAATCAGAGTTTCATTTTAATTCTTCAGGCTTTGAAGAAAGGATCTGCATGCCTGAAAGTACTAAAAATAGATACACTGGGAGATGCTTCAAAAATAGCGAGCAGTACCATCTCCCATTTGGCTCTGAGTTTCTCCAATCATGTGTTACACTAATGTTAAATATCTTTCTCTTGTTTAAAGTAAAAGTATTGAAATTGGGTTATTTGGAACTTAGATATTTCTGTTATTTGTATTCCAAGGGCTTCTCTCATTCTTCTTGGTACAGCTCTAGGAACATATTTGGAATACTTTTGACAGTACCATTTTTTTTAGAAGCCAGAACTGAAACCAATATAATTACATCTGACAGTTGAACACTTGAGAAACTTAATGTTCTATTAACCTCAAGTTTTAAAACAAATAAATATTCACAACAGTCATACATATCAAGGTCAGATAATTTAACAGCACAAAAGGATCTAGTCAAAGCTCTTCATTTCATGTACCTGTAAACTGAGGAAGCCATGAGCAGTTAGGTGATTAGCCTGAAGTTGCATGGCTGGGGATCCAGATAAAATAGATAAAATAAAAATAAAACCAGACTTAAAATACCAAATTTCCTAATAACCAATTTGTGCTTTCCATCCTGTGTGAGATCAGGATAGCACTCTCTACATTTAGCTTTTCTATCTTTTTCACTCTTCTTTTCTGCTTTACTCTCTGCACTCTCCTGGGAGACCTCCTTCCACTCCCATAGCTTCTATGAGCTCATCAATTCTCAATGTGCCACTTGTCCACTTCTCTCTTCCCGAACTCCAAAATGTATGTTTTCATTTATCTCTTAAATATATACTCCTAGAATCCTGAAGGGAATCTCAAATATAATATCAACCAACCTACATTTATCTTGTGTTACATATGTATCACATGCATATTACATAATATATGTATTAGTCCTGATCTCGGGGAACGGAGTCACTATCCATCCAGTGTTTGAAGCTAGAAACTTTTGACATCCTTCACAGCCTTGTCCCTCCCAACCTGGCCCAACAGTCCAGCACTAAGTCCCAAACTTGATTCCTTTTCTCCATTCTCCCATTGCTCTTGCCTTAGTGCAGGCCTACACCACTTTTCACTTGGACTGCTGTATCAGTCTCTTAAACAGTTCCCCTGCCAAAAGCTCTTCCTATTTCTACACATTGTAGCGAAAAACCTTTCCTAAAAATAAAATTTTGTAATGTCCCCCTCCTACTTAAAGATCCCTGCTGGATACATGATAAGGCTAAATCTCTTTACATGGAACAAAGTCTCTCATAATCTAGTTCCAATCCTTCTCTAGCTTCATTTCCTACCCAATTATTTTTTCTGACTTTTCTTTATTCATGCTATTCCCCTTCTCTTGAATGCATGCCTTCCTTACTGTATGTCTACCTGGCAAGTATGTATTAAATCTTTAAGACCCAGTTCAAATGTTACCTCCTCTCTGTAGCTTTTCCTAATTTTCCCAGATTCTCAGTTTCCCCTCATCAAGACATATGACTTAAATGGCACCTGGGGATGCTGTTGCAATTGTCTGATTGTAAGTCTTAGCCACCAAACTCAGCTCCTTCAGGGCAAAGACTGTAACTTTTTCATCTAGCACATGGGTTGAATGAATCCAACGTTGCATTTTCTCTGAAGTTAGTTTTTCATTTATAACTTCCTTGGCATGAAAATCCAGAATTACAAAACATAAAGTAACCAGGAAACTCCTAGAAGATTATTTACGGCAAAGTATAAAAAGAAAAGAACTCAAACAAAAGGTTAACAGTCCTGTGTGACCAGTAACAGTGATTAACATGTGTGGTTTCAACTTCTCTCATGGTTTACTGCAGGTTATTTTATACTTCATTGTTTGTTCACTGATTTCCTTATGAACACAAAAATTTTCCCAGTATCTAAAGATACTTAAAAATATACTTCCCAGGATAATTGAAACCTACTGAGCCATTCATAGTGTTGGTCACTGATATATGAATTCCAGTAACAATGCAAACTTTAGCCAGTTGTGTAAGAGCACCTTTGCATTCACTCTGCAGTGAGGTGGGATCAGTGGGCTCTCTCATTATCTACTTTCAGTTTTTGAAAACGGAAAGCATCTCACAGCATTTTAGGTGTATTTCTCTTTGACAAATGTTGACATAACTGAACAATTTTAACTTCCAAGAATCATATTTTTTATAGTAAAAAAATACAGTAATTTAAAAACCTTACCTTTTTGTCTTTTTAAAGAAAAGATGGCAAATAGTATTATTACAGCTTCATAGTATATTGATGTACTGTGCTCTCAGATTTTGGGAAATATACTGTTAAAGGCCCTGCATCTGAATGGTGCAAGACCCTTCCTTTCTTGTATCTAATATCTCTCTTACTCCCTGCTGCCTGGCCAAGGCAGAATAAAACAAGGAGAGCCACAGTATTGAATCTAAGAATCCCCAAAACACTGTTTCAACTTCCCATGCTCATTCCTCTATCTTAACTGATCTATCAAACTCTCTAATATTTGGCATAAAAAACTTTGTTGTATCAGAAATAAGAAATTTTGATAATCTTGAACAGCTTCAAATAATTTTCCAAGAGTGAAAGTATCTGACCATTTTAAAAAATAATTCTAAAAAATTCTACATAATTTAGATAAACTAACCAAGCAACTTCTTCGTGTTGGCTTGAGAAGGCTGCCCCATGTCCAAGCTCATGGATTTCCGGGCTCGGGGACTGGTCTGGCCTGCAGTTGGATAGGCGGCGGCAAGGTACCCTTCAGAACCTTTGGGAGAGGACCATGGCTGATTCTCCTTTAGTGTCCTGAGAGATTGAAACAATTGAGAAGAATTAATAAACATGATGACAGATACAACCATTGTTTTCCCTTCCAACTGGCTGTAGTATTTCCCCAAAACAGCAATCATTTAATTTTAAAACTGCACTCGAAAGCACTTTAGGGTACAAACTGCTAATTTATCCCCAGGAAGTATCCACTTTTCTGCCATGACATCTTATACATAGTAGATACTCAACAGAATTGTACTGCACTGATTTTTTAATCAGGGAAAATCAAGTCTAAATAGGCGATTGTATTCTCACAGTTTAAAAACCAAGAGGAACATAGACAAACTCACTTTCTCCTTTCCATAAGAAAAGGGCATATCTCAAAGAAATATAATCAGAGGAATGACTGAAGAATAAGGAAACTAAAAACCAAGTATGCTGGAAAGCTTTTGCACACACTGTTAATATCTCAGTTGGAAATTGTTGAGGGCTTTTTAATCATGAAGTGGGATATTGATAAACTGATACAAGATTATTTTCCTATGTTCAATACTGTAACTAAAACTTAAAGATACCTTTGTTTAATTGAAAATATAAAAAAACTCCAAATGATGCCATTTTCCTGAAATTTCTCCATGTTATAGTGAAACGTATATTACCCAAAGCCATGTACAACAGTGGATATAATTTGATTATCTTGTCTAAATCCATACTATGGAAACTTTTTAATAACTTAAGTGTGATATGAGTAAATACAATAAATACGTTGGTATGCATATCTTTTTTTCTTTACAACGCAAACTGCCTTTATTTATTTATTTATATTTCAATTAATTTTTTTTTATTGAGTTATAGTCAGTTTACAATGTTGTGTCCATTTCTGGTGGACGGTATATATATCTTTTTATAAATCTGTATAGTTTAGTTTTCTGTCATTAAGCATGTAATGTTTATATTTCATGTTAGGTTTCCCTAGGCCTTTTCCTGCAATCTGATACTTTCACAATCAGCTCTTCATTATTCAACTGATTTGAGCTTAAAAAGAGATAAACTAATGTTAACTAATTAGCACAATTAGATTAGAAAAAGAACTTTCCTACTATTAACCCATATAAAATACTGTATGTTTATACAATGAGCTTTGCTTTACAGTCTTCCTAGATTATCCCTAGATTTCCCTCTATATTACGTCCTGGATTCCTCTGATTCTTGCCTTTATTAGCACAGAAAATTGAAACCTCATTGTAATTATGTAATTGTGGGGGGAGAAGCCCGCTTACCTATAGCTAGGGTCGCCATGGTGAATGGGATATGTATCCATAGAAACATTTTCCATTGAAATATCAGTAAGAAGAAGAGACTTTCTATGTTTTAGGCTACAGCGACTTCGAACCTCCTCAGACACTGTGAGTAAAGCTAAAAAAAGAAAAAGAAGGAAGATTAAAACATTTAATAAATCATAAGTGTGACTTAAAAGAGGATACACTTCTCACAAGCTCCTAAAGAGAATAACAGCTGTTAAATGTGCATGTAAAGAGCCTTGGAAGAGTATGAAGTTTAAGGATATAAAACACTTAGGACAGACTTGTTTATCATATTAGGTTTACAGTCTGTTTTGAAAGATTGTATGTAAACATGAAAGGTACAAAGAGATTTAAACAGTACGTTCTATTTGTCAAGTGCTTTAATGTACATTTGAACCCAACAAACACTAAAGGTAGGCAGAGCAGGACTATGAGGCCCATTTCCTGGATAAGGAAAAACACTCTGAAATATTAAATGACTTGCCCAAGGTTAAATGATTCAAACAAAAAAGTTGCCACAAACTAAAGTCTGCTAAACTGGGAGTCAGCACTTTCCATCAACAACTATGTTAACAAACTGTGTTATATGCGTAAGTGCTAAGTGTTGCTGAGTGGAGAAACACAGGTACTGGCAAAAGCAAATAGAGACGGTATAATGGAATGATGGGGACGGGCAGACAGTCTAGGTAAAACAAATGACATCAAGAATGAATATGAAAGAGGCAGAAAGGCACTTCTAGGAGATGGCAAATGGATTAGCTTAAAATAGCCCATCCATTTGGAGAGCTAATAAAAAATGAGGCCTATGAAATTTAGAGAAAGAGGACAGAATCAGGAGGGCTGTTTAACAGCCCAGAGTGCTAGGCTGAGACGTTCAGATTTTGACAGACAGTAGGGAACTACATAGTGTCTTGAACCAAAGGTGACTAAGGGAATATATTTCATATTTAAACGCAAATTCTTTTATAAGGAAAAATGTTTTGGCAGAACTTTCCAAATTTTAACTAATACCATAGGACTGGACTGTGAACTTTCTATCCTACCAAGCAGCCAGCTACAGGACCCATAGGTGTTTGTACCTTTTTGGTGGTCTTTAGATATAGATGTGGTAAGATTAATTTTGTCTGTTTTGTGTTTTTACCTGCCAAGTAAGCCACGCTCTGTGTATTCACCTCAAATTTGTCACAATTTCTATGTTTATTAACCAGAGTTAGTAGTGTATGCAAAATTCTGACTGTTCTTGCAACAATCGCAGGTGAAGGATGCCTGTATCCTACAAAAGATGAAAACAAACAAGAAGTTAATTCATTCTTTCAGCAAGTATTTGCTGAATTCTTATTCTGTGACTAGCAACTCTAAGGAAATGAAGTACATAAGGAGTAACTCCTGCCTTCTAAGAATAGCCATTTTGGAAGGTAAAATATATACATGTGAATAGTTAATTAATTACATATGATTAAGCACCAAAAATGTGTAGAATAGAATAATGTTCCCTGTAACTCTAAGGTACCTCAGCAAGAGGGAAATTAGGAGAGATGATGGTGTTTCAGATCTTCTATTCCCTAAGCAGCACAGGGATTTTTAAAAAAGCCTATGTATTATAGTTCACCTTAAGATATCCTTTGAAAATAGGGTTCTATCACCTAAATTTCTTTTAATTAAAAGAAAAAGCCTAATGATATGGGAGTATATGCTCTCAGAGCGCAAAGAATCGAGTTGATTAGAGGGTAAGCTTGTTCTTTAGACAGCTTTTAATCACTTACGCTACTCCATTTAAAACAAGGGATTTATACACTGAAAATATCTGGTATTCTTTTAGAAATACAGAATAAGCAAGCACTTTATCAGCCCAGCTGCAATCCCTCTTCTTGGTATCCTGCAGTAAGTGTAGTATCTTTGAGCAATCCCTATTCACTATCGTGATTAAAACTGTCAATATTTTTTTGCAAAAATTTCATAAGGTGGTGAAATCAAATGTATATAGTGGGCGTATGTATACATATCAGGTAAAAACTGGGGGAACCTCCATGATCCCTCAAGCCTAACAATCATTTAAATTGATACAAAACTGTAGATTCAAGTTCTAGCTTGAGTCTCTGACTTTGACCAGATCTAGTGCTGCTTAAAACCACTGATTCATGCCTGCTCCTTATCCCAGGCCTTAGTTTACACTGCTTTTGCTTCTGACTCACCCCTATATGCCGCTCCTGTTAAATGCAGTCTTGTGCCATGACTGTCCCATGTTAATAAACAAAAGCTTACACATAGTGAGGTCAGCAGTAGGGAGTAAAGTTGGTCAGAGTGAACAAGCTGGCTCTGAGCAATAGCTGGAGACGACTGCTCTAAGTAATACAGAAATGTGGATGGGGGAGGATGGGGTACCAGAAAGGTGGGGGTCTATGGTATGTAATAATAGGACTGATCAACAATTAAATTAGTATACAAGTTAAGAAAATCTGTCACCAAATCTCTAACATAACATCTTCTACTTGAGTTACTCAAATAACATTTATTGACTTGTAGTATGTCTTATTTTGATAACTAAAAAGATACTTAAGTAGCATTAACTAATAAACCAGCTATTAGAAAGTTCAGTCCTTAAACATTTTTATAAGAATCAACAACTCTTTTGCTTTTTAAAAGAAATCTGATATTTGATGTGGAAACTAGGCTCTATTAAAATACATACTGCATGAAACATAACTCAGTAAGAGATCAGTTTGCATTTAAAGTAAGATATATGAGCCAAATTATTTCAAGCAATCAATTGTTTTAGTTACTTCTGGCTTCTTGATACCATTTCATAAAACTACTCTGACACAAGGCCTCTACCTTTTAAGAGGTGTCCAACCAGTGCGAAGTTAAAGTTAGAGTTGAAATTGAGTCCAACAAAATGATCCATTTGCTTGCAGTGCCATTCTAGAGGATTCCGGATTGCCATAAATACTTCCTCTGGACTCTATTAAAAATAATCATAAGATGGTTGATGGGGTTCACACAGGAACTTTCCTCAAAGGATCACTCGTTGGTTTTTGATTGTGTCCAACAGCTATGACAAGTTTAAGTAATCCTTTCAGGTTGAGAGAAATTATTTTCAGATGACTACAGAAAACCATAGAACATTTAAGGTACTACAAATAAACTAATGCAAGACAGTCAAGCATAAAATATTAAGATGATGGAAGATAAAACAGCTTAAATGTCAAATAATGCAAAATAAATGTCAATTTAAATCCCACTGACTTTTTCAAAAATTACAACTATTCTTGTTTTAAACAAAACCATCCACTGAATTGTAGCTGGCACTTTATGTACTATGGTGACTGAAAATTCAAGAGAACGAAGAGAATTCATACTTACCAAGTGCCTGCTATATACACCAACATTAGATGCGTTATTGTATTGAAATCTTAAAGCAATTCTATGCAGCAGGTGTTAGCTCCATTCTACAGATTCATTCATTCACTTATTCATCCTTTTACTTTCCAAATACTTAAAGTTTTTGATGTGTCAGGCGTGGTTCTAGGCTCTGAAAATGTCAGTGAACTAAACAGACAAAAAGTACTTGCCCTGATAGATTTTAAATTACAGTGTGGGAAAACAAGGAAATTGAAACTCAAAAATGCTATGTTACTTGCCCACTAAATTAAGATTTTTAACAGTGTTTCCTCAAGTAGTGTGGTTCCAGGAATATCTGCTTTAAAGTCACTGATGATGCTTGTTTAAGGTGGAAAGTACTAGGTTCCATCTCAGAATCATGGGAGGTGGGTAAGGCCCAGGAATTTGCATTTTTTGAAAAAAGAATCCCAGTGATTTCCTTATGAACAGAAAGTTTTTAAAGCAAAAGCTGAAGGTACTAGGGTCATGTTCAGGTCTGTCTAGATTTCTGTCTCAAAGAAAGAAAAGCATGAGTATATAAAACAAATGGAGAGAGATGTTTAGATCAGCATTGTTTATAATAGGAAAGATGACAAACAAATCAAATGTTCATTAATGGGCAAATGGTTGAATAAATTGTGGTTCAGACATACTTTAAAATACTCTGCAGCCATGAGAAAGAATTATACACACATATATTTATGTGGGTGTGTATGTATGTGTATATACATATATATACACACCCACATAAATATATATGCTTAGAAAGATGTTCACTTTATATTAAACAAGTTGATGCATATTATATAAATATTATATAAAATATTAACCTAGTATATGTTTAATTTATATATATTTTTCAGCATTACTGAAGTATAATTCACAAATAAAATTGTAAGATATTTAAAGCATACAATGTGATGATTTGATACACATATACACGGTGAAAGGATTCCCCAATAAGTTAATAAACACATCCATCACCTCACATATTTACACCCCCTTGCTCTTTCTTGGTGAGAACATTTAAGTTCTACTCTCGGCAAATTTCACTCATACACCACAGCATTATCAACTATAGTCATCAGATTATAACACAGATTCTCAGACCTTATTCATCTTTCATCCTGGTGACTTTTAACAAGCTTTATTAGCTCTGATTCCTAGTATCCTGGGGCACTGGAGTCAACATTAGCTTCTGCTAATGGGCTACTCTGGCAATGAAAATGCCAAGGCAGATAGCCCTAGATAAACACTTCATTTACAAATATTCTTATAGTCACACAAATGGCCAAAGCCAGCTATCTGACCACCACTGCCCTAAGACAGCCTCAGAAAAGGGCAATGGGGATTAGGAAAGAGAAGGTCTAGTCCCAAACACGAACAAGTTACTTTATTTCTTTGTTCTTTCCTATCTTGTAAAATGGAGGTCTGACTGATAAACTTCAAGGTAGCTTCTACCTCTAGAATTTTGTTTCCACAGTTCCCAGAGCCCCAGCTGCTCTGTGTCTACGCTGTCTCTGGCAGACTGAACAAACAATGCTTAGACAGGTATCTTTACACTCAAAACCACACTCTGGTTCTGTTTCTTTCTACCCATAAGCTGTTAATTTCACTTGAAATCTCTTGCTATACACACATGTCTATTTTAAAGTCCTCTCTTTTCTCCTAGACTCTTCCCATTTGTTTCTCCAAAGACAAAAGGAATACAATTTCTTACTGCTACATTCCCTCCACTATACTCTGTGAAACAAAATCCAACCTCAATCAAGGCTGAAAAGTGTTAAGAGGAGTGGTGGTAGTATCTTTTAAAGTAGGATTAAGCTTGGGGCAGGGCATAGCTCAGTGATAGAGCACATCCTTAGAATGCACAAGGTCCTGGGTTCCATCCCCAGTACCTTCATTAAAAAAATTTTTTAAATAAATAAATAAACCTAACTACCCACCCAAAATAAAAATAAAAATAAAAATAAAGTGGGATTAAGCAAACAAAAAACTTGTATAATTAAGTATCCAAAAGTTTCCTTTAGACCCTCCAACCTCCTTATCAGCTTCTAATTATACCTACTTTTCATTAAGTGCCAAAAATCTAAAAATAAGCTGACTTTTATTGAATTATTTCTTCATATATGAAGTGAAATGGAGGGTGGAGAATGTTAACCTTTACCTTTGGGTTATGAATTTACAAATAACGAACATACAGTACATAGTACAGCACAGGGCCTCACATGATAGCTGTTACTACTACTCAATATTTTTATCCTTACTTTGTTTACTAATATTGGGTAAGTACTGTTTTATTGCTATTTTTTAATGGAAAATATGCCAAGTTTAAACAATTTTTATGAGCTGGTAAGGAACTATACTCACAATAAGTTGCATTACAGAAATTCATATTTAAGTTATGGACCTCTTCTGATTTTAAAGGACAACAACAATAAAAGAAGGAGGAGTTCAAATCTGTATACTTTAGAAATACCAACTGAAAGCTTGTCTACCTTGTCATTGAATATCCGGAGACTGTCCAAGGTGTGCAGGTTTTGTTCCAGAAGTGCGGTGCCTGCTGAATACAAGTTGACCTCATCGAGCTGCAGCACGGCCACAGCTACCCAAAAGAGGGCTTTGTGCAGAGGGGAGTCCTGGCAAGGGAGACACACGCCAGGTTAGCATGACGAACCACAAACAGTCTTGTCAAAACACACTGCAGTATAAAACAAATCATGTTATCCCCCAAATTACGTGTGTTCTCTCTTTCGGAGAAGGTAAATACATAGGTAAGCTCTTCCTCTATTCCATATGTGTAACTAAAGACACTGTTAGCCAGGTTTAGAACCTTGTCATCTCCTTTGATTGCTCCCTATTTTTTGATTCTAAGATCTGGTCACTAAGTTTTATTGATTCTTCCAAAGTAGGTTCTTTTGTATCTGCTTATTGCTAATGACACTATGCTGTGCCAACCTTCTTTATTCTAAATGTGGACACTTCCTACCTCCAGTTTCTCTCTCCTCCAATCCTCCTGTGTACACCACCCCCATAATGATCCTTCTAAGTCCGACTTTTGCCAAGATTACTCATCTGCTTGAAAACATACAGGTACATTTCCAAACTCCCTTTGTGAAGAATGTTGAATGTTAGATTAGTTCTATCCAGTCTTTACAATCTTCCCTCTCACTATTCTCCTGAAAAATTTCTCTGTAACAACCAGAATGGCCTACCCACCACCTCTCCACTGTTCCAGCATTCTAGCATACTCTACGGCTGTATATCTACTGCTCAAGGCTTTCTCCCTTTCTCTACACTAAATACCACCTGTCTCTAACTGTAGCTTAAACTCTACCCCTTCAACTTTCTTCTCACCCTTACTAGTATAAGTCATCTCTTGCTGGTCTGAATTAAAAATATTTATTTTGGGGAACCCTTATTTAGCAGTGTGGTATATGAGAAAACACAGACTTTGGAGTCAGACAGCCTTGGATTAGAATCATGGTTCTCTGTCTTTAAGTATATGACCTTGGACAAGTAATGGAACCCTTCTGAGCCTCACTTTACACTTACAAGGTGAAGATGAGAGAACCATTTTGTACAATCTACAATTAACATATTTGCAGAACACACACTACCAGGAGTACTTACTTCTCCATAATCTCTCTCAAGTCTGTCCTGTCTCTGTGCTCAGTTCACACAGTACAATCTTAGAGCTAGAAGATAACAGTACACCACCACACAGTCTATTTTACTCCTTTTAAAAACGTGATATCTAGGCATGTTAAATGACCTGCTTGAGGTCACAAAGCTGACATGAGCTCAGACCATCCTAAAACAGTGGCTGTATCATCGTATTCCTTTTAGTTTAGCACCCAAACTCTTTTGATTATCAGGGATACTTTACCCAGCTTTTCATTTCTCCACAATAATGGTCACAAACTGACATATCATGAATTTTCCTCACTTCGTTTACTATCTAGCCACTCCCCAACTCCCACATTCACCCCAGAATGAAAGCTCCATGAGGGCAGTAATACATCTCTAGCACCTAGAACAGTACTTGGCACATAGCAGATACTCAATTAGTACTTACTGGATAAAAGAATTAGGAATATACACCTGTCTTTCCATTAGCACTGATGACAAAACACAAGCATTTGAGAATATACTCTCCATACCCAATCTTCCTCTTAAGTAAATACTTCAAACAACTAACTTTTAAAGCAAGAAGTTCTACTTTAACTGTAGTTTTTTCTTTATAACTTCTCAATTCATCTTATTTTCTTACTATTTGAAAGAAAATAACATTTAACACTGATACCCAAAACAAATGCACTCATTTTCTAGTAATTACCTTATTAAGAAGTGGTTGTAATTTGGTTAGTGCTATTACTGTAGCTTCTATCAGAACTTGACTGTTGTAAGTATCAGGTCCTTTTAAGCAACTCTCAAGCGCCTTTTAGGGAAAGAGAATTCTTTATTTTACTTTCATTGAAATAAAACATTAACTCCTAAACTGAGTCTCAGAATTAGTCCAGGGACAATTCTGTATTTGATAAGTGTGAGAATTATTTCTAATGCTGTGGTGATTTTGGTAGTTAGCTCAATGCACATTTGGGTTCTTATTTTTAAATATTTCTATACTATATCCTAATATAGTATCAGGCATTATTATAGTAATTGCAAGTTACGTAATATTGTGTAAGGCTAGTCTTACCATCTAGTTTTATAATAAAATATTAAGAGTACCTTCTACCAAAAGAAATGTTCATTTTCTTTTTAAGGTATCTTCTCTAGAGAGGTTTCCTCACTTCAAAGAATTATAATAAAGAAAACAAAACAAAAAAAGAACTATAATAAAGAAAATAACCAAAACCTATTTTTTTAAAGGTTCAATAAGCAACACACAAAACATTTTATTAAATTTAAATTTAAATGTCCCTTAGAAAATTCAAGATATGCTTTAGGGAACCAAAAATATTTGGGAGGAGATGGGGGAGGTACCTTGCTAAGAATTCGGATAATCTGCTTTATCTGCCCATGAGACACTCGTTTGCTAATACAGCCAAAGACAACTAGAGCTCTTGGTTGCAGGGATGGATTATACTGGAATGCAAATCTGCGATTAAAAGATCCAAAGTGCTTATGAAAATCTTTGTTTATATATACGTAGATTAAAAAAATTAAAATATTGATTATGCAGTAATAGCTACCTTTTCAACAATACCATACTTTTACAACTTAAATTTATTTGGGACATACCTTTGAGCTAGTTCTGTCCACTGGTCCAGCCACTTGCATGTTGGAATATCTCTCATACATGCCTAAAAAAAGGACACTCTGAATATATTTATGTATATAAGTGTTTACAGAAACATTTTAAAATGTTTATTACAATGGCATTAAATACATGACATATATAGTACCAATAAACACATTCCACGGAGTGTCTTTATGTAAGCATTAAATGCAAAACAGCTGAAAAATCAGTATTTCTTCTATACAGTTCCAGGAGATTTTTAAAAATGACCTTAGTGTCTTATCATTTTCCCGTCTGTACCTCCATGATCTCCAGCAAAGCTTCAGTGACTGTTTCCAAGGATGTCAAAGCAAAAGTCTCCCTCTCATAGGAGCCAGGAGAGAATGACCTGTCCCGGTAACTGGAGCGAAAGGCAATGACAGCAGCTGACTTGACTTTGCTAATGCCAAACAGCAGGTAAAATTTGGGTAATGAGAACTCTGTCAGACTGAGTCTCAAAACTTGCTTGGTTTCTTCTGTAACAGAAAAAAGGAACAGGGCAAGACTTTAAAGATACTAATTTTAAAATTCCAAAGTGCCATATTTCACTTCGAATTTAGAAAATTTGAATATCATACCAAAATTACGTAACAATGCTCCCTAAATCAACCCTCTGGATACATTAGCTTAATGCTCATTGCTTTCGCTCCTTTTATCTACAAATCTGTGCTAGAACGCAACACTGTCAACTGGTGCTGCGTCTTTAGCTTGCATGGTAGCTACTAGAGTCTACGTGACAAACATGCACGGAACATCTTTTGCTATGGCTCGAGACAGAATGGAAGTAATTCATTCTTTTCCTTTTTGTTAATAGTTCATGTCACTACCATAGGCTTGGTGTTACGGCACCATAATAAATAATACGGTAATCTATGCCAATCAGGTGGTGTAAAACGGAGAAAGGAGCTGGTGAACCACAAACTGCTTTCCTGGAACTTACCACTAAAATGAAGCTGTGAACAAGTACACAGAGAGTGAATGATATTAATGACCAATCCATGCGTGGAAGCTCTAAGGGAGAGTGGCCCTGTGGCTACTAAGAAAGTAACAACATGGAAGAGGTAGGGGAGGTGAGCTGCTACATCAAGGGAGTTGTTGAAGGACAGCATGAGCATGTAGCGTGCTAGAATGGCGATATCGTCCCACATAAGATGCTGTTCTAAAGTCGGCGTTGGAGATAAGCACGTCTTGTCAATTATTTTGCACATCCTTCCAATAACCTGTAAAGAAGCAGAATTTTTTAAAATGTGGGAGCTAAAAAAGAGTTTTACCACACAAAAAAATTCAGTTTAACTTTAAAATGACTTGTCACAAAACTAAAAACCTCCGGATAATAAAAACAGAGACCTCAAGCCAGTCCAGAAGGCAAAAGAAAAGTGATTACCTTGCTTGAAACCAGTTTCACATTTCCAGAAGCCAAAGCTACAGCAGTATCTGCCATCACCTCAGCTTTTATGGATCCCAAGCCACCTGTTGCACTAGTTTTGATGAAACTGTCCAGTACAACATCAAGGAGGTCTGTAATCTAGTAGAAGAGGGAAAAATAACTTATGTTTTAGCCATTCTACCAACTTAATTCTTAACTTCAAGGAGCAGCCCAATCAACATGAAAATTCTATTTTACCTGCAGCCTCCATAATACTAGGCTTTGTTTAGAGATTTGTCAGTAGATACAATTTATCATAAAACATCCAGAAAAGGGTGAGAATAGTCACTGAATTCCTTCAGAGATTAAGAGACTGGAATTCAAAAATTTTAAATCTCTACATATATTATTTTCACTCACTTTTAAAGCACCCCTGTTCTCTTCTTAGACGGTAATGTATGAGCAATATAAAGTACAATTATTTTAAATTATAGGAAATGACATCAAGTACTGAGATGTTTTGTAGAGCTATAGAACTGGCTCCAAGGTCATTTAAAATTATTTGGAGGATTTGCAGCACTGTTTGAATAAGGATATTGCTTCCTTAAGTGATTACCTTGAAAAAATGACTCTTGTCAGATAAAAAATAAATTGCTACATTAACTATTTTAATATTGGCGTTCTTGTGCTAGAACAGATGTCCCAAATAACATCATTAACATTTACTGACACCTATGGTATATAAAGTACTAGAATATACCAACCATAACACACTATTCACTAGAAAAAAAATAAGATTCTTACAGTTGAATTCTACATGCAGCCGCCCCTTGGTATCCTTGCAGGTTAGTTCCAGGATCCCCATGGATACTAAATTCTGCAGATACTCAAGTCCCTTACATAAAAAATGGCCTAGTGCAGTTGGCCGACAGCACCTGTGGGTCTGCACATAAAGAAGTCTGGGACAACCATAATTATGCATGCCATAGAGAAGAGTGTGAAAGTAATTAGTTTTTCTCTGGCTCTGAGACATGCATCACACATCTACAATTTTGAACCAGATCAAGAATTCGGTGGGTGACTGCATGCTTTCAGAAAGAGGGGACTGTCTTTTCTATATAGCTATATCCCTAGCCCAGTGCTTTGCACAAACTGGGCATCAGATAAATACCTGCACCAAGGCTGTACTAGATAAAGATCTGAGCAAATTCAATACCTGCCCAAGGCTCCCCCATATTTTTGCTTGAATAGATGGATACATCTGTTTCTCGTTTATGGTCATTGTTATCAGTTTATCAAGAATCGCGGTAACCCTTTGTCGTTTGGCATCATCATTGTGCTTACAAAAGCGTACTAGATTCGACAGCCATGGAGTCATGTATTCCAAACAAAGATGTTTCAATTCAATACCTGAGGGGGGAAATACACTATTAGCATAGATGGTAACAATAATTTCTCTCCTAGTTAAAATTTTTCTTGTTTTATTCTAATTGTAAAAGGAGTATGTAAAATATATATATACATATTTTAGCACGACCCACATGTTACTGTTGATTCATTTTTCTTACTAATCGGTTAAGAACTCTTCATAATTAAAGATATCATTCTTTTTGCAAGCATATTTCTTAGGTTTTTATTTATCTTTTAGTTTTTTTTTTAAAGTAGAGATGTTTGAAGTTTTATGTGGTCAAATCCGTTTACCATTTCCTCTGTTTGTATCACTTTTTTGCTTCAAAAGCCCTTAGTCACCAAAAAAGCAATTAAGTATTAGTCTTCTTCTTTCTCTTTTTTTTTTTTTAAATGGTTCTAGTTTTTATATTCAATTCTTAAATACAGTGAGGACTTATTTTGGCATCTTGTGGTCAACAACTTAATTCATTTCCCAGCCTCATTTCTTAAATGATTTAATTTCCCCCCCATTAGTTTGTGATACTTCTTTATCAATCTATTTCTCTTAAAGAGATCTGATTGTTGGCTTTTGAACACCTGTTTTAATCATTGTACTGTTGTGTGCTCAGATGTCTGATAAATCTAGTCCCTTAGTTTTTTTTTCTTTCAATATTTTCTTAGCTATTGTACTTTCAAGTGAAATAGATAATCATTTAAAGTTTTACCTCACTCTTAATCCTCAAATCTCACAGCTTTTTTGAAGAGACTGCATTGAATTTATAATAATCTGAGAAGAACTGCTCATCCAGGGACACGATATGCTTGTTCATTCACTCGAATCTTTTTTATTAATATTTCTCAATACAACTATACTTTTCTTATTTTGTCAGTCTTATATATTTTCTTTTTAGGGTTTTATTCCTACATCTCTTACTGTGAAAATATACAGTAATCTAATCTCAATAAATTGTCAAAGCTTTCAATTACTTAATACAGAAAAATCAAGAAATGTGTTTGCAGAAAAAGAAAGTCTAATGTATTATGGAAAGAGAGGGAAGGGAAGAAAACGTCAGGAAATAAGTTGGAAGAAGAGCAACTTTATACTATTATAGGGTCTGACTGATGGTGGACAGATGTAAAGAGTGGATATTAAATTTATGAGACTTACTAAAGCCAAGTCAGGAGTTGACTCTGGACCCTGTATTATATACCACTCATTATCCATGAACTGTACATGAACAATAAAATCACAGTTCAAAGTTAACCTGAGGAAGAGAAAATAACGATTTCCCTAAAATTGAGGAGACAACGTGGATACTTTACTCATTTGGAATAACCTGCTAAGAAGAGATATGTTGAAACTAATTAATATGAAACATAGTATAAAAAAATGCTTTGTAAGTGGTCAACAGACATGGAAGGTATCAAAACCTTGCCACCTTGCTTTTATTGCCAGAATTTTGGTGGATTTCTCAATGTGGTCTACCAGAAAGTTTCTTCAGACAGATGAAAAAAGAAAAGAGGTAAAAAAGTAGAACTATATTAAAAATTTCACTGGCAAATTCTGAAATGAAAGGGTCATCTTTGAATCTTCTTAGCATCATTGTTAGTAAATAAAGAAAATTGCCATTACTTACTGGATTTGCTAAACCCAGAAATACACTCTTCCAAAAATTCTAAGGTGAGGTGTGGCTCATTGGCTGCCAGCGTCTTACTAATAGAGACAATAAAGAGGGTGTTGTTGGCAGGGATACATAAACCTGATGTCTCTAGTAACTGGCCCTCGATTTTTAAATTAAAGGTACAAGTTAAGGCACACAGAAGATTATAGGCAGCTGACCTAGGAGAAAACACAAATAAAGTTGTCTTAAAACATTTTTCTTAAAATTCCAAAACTTCTTCATAACATATAACTTATGATTCTATCACCAAGCATAATCAACTATTTTTAAATTTTATGATCAATTAGAGATAAGATGTGATTCTATGGTAAGCCCAAAACACCCCTTGATCATTTAGGATTTTTTTTTTTTTTTTTGTAAAGGAAATTCCTGACACAACCAGAAGAGAACTGAGAGGCTCCTAAGACAGGTAAATATAAGGCCTTTCTAAATACATTTCACTGGGATATAAAATATGAGAAGTTTATGATCCTAAGATGAATCAATATAAAGGAAGTCAGAATAAGGCATATCATATTTTCAGTGAAGCCACAACTTAAATTGTGGCTCCCCCCCACCACTAGATGCAGTTATAACAGGGGTCACAAGAAATGAGACAGCCCTCATTGAATCAGAATGTTAAAGTCTTTCATCAACATTTAATGAATTTCTTTTTCAGTGTCCTACAAGTTATACTATAAACTAGAGGTCAAACAATTTTTTAAATGTAATTAAGTGCCCCCTCCACCACGTTTTCCCTTCTATGAACTTCTATTATACATAAGCATTGAGTTAAAAAAGAACAATCCATAATATATCTAGGTTCCATTAGAATTCCAAACTCCCTTATAAATGTCTAAAAAATATGCTTAACAATTTAGGAGACAGTTAAAAAAACTCAGACTTTAGATTTTGATTTTTCTTTCCTATCCAGCAAAAGAAATGGTTTGCAGTAAATTTCAGGTTTTCAGTACCTCTGAGTTTTCATCATGCTAATGTTTTTATGCAACAATACAAGGGGGAAAAGCTACTGAAATGTCAGTCTGCCTCTAGGTTTTTTCTTTGGGATGACATGCTTCAGCAAAAAAGCGGAAGCTATTAGCTGGCTTTATTTCGTAAGAGAAGAATATAGGTTCATTCAAGTTAATAATTACTAGAAGATTGCTAGCATTCTTCAATGAGGAATTTTGCATTAGAAATTAAAGGCAGACGTATAGCTCCATTTTCCTAAAATGAAAATGTTAATATTACTGTTTCTAAGTTTATATATCTCTCACTAACTCCTAGGAATTCTGAGTGATACTATTTTGACACTGACTTTCACTCTGTATAGTTCAACAGCTATAAAGAACTGGGATCCCACAAACTGGGAGTAGGTATCACAGACTCCTCTGAGATAATGAAAGCTAAGCATACACAAAATTTTGCATATCGTTTCTGGGAGTTCATGGACCCCATGAGGCCAATCCAGGTAAAGAAATCTTGTTTTTCCCCCCTTTAAAATAAGGAAGAATTTGGAATCCTAAAAAGCCCACTTATAAAACCTGGGCAATCATTTTACCCTGGGGAAGATTTTCTGAAGCCAAAAATTTGTATCTGTAAAAATCTTGACAGTCTTAAGGTACCTGGGACAAGAAAATTATCTTAACATGAAAAAGAGAGCTGGGGGAAGAGGGAAGTGGTGCAAAGAGATGCTGGCAGAGAGAGGAAACAGTGGGGGGAGTTGGGAGGAAGTAGTATTTGCTAAGCAGAAGCTACCTGCTGGGTGCTATGCTACACTACCACACATATTACTCATTCAACCTCTGTAGGTGTATAAGGAAAGCACTGTTACCTTTATTTTAAAAATGAGGAAACTGGAGCTCAAAGAACTTCAGTACCTTGCCCAAAGTCATACAGAGCAGCGGATCTAGATTTAACCCAAATCTACTGACTTCATAGGTCCTGCTCTTTCCTCATTTATGTTCAGATTAAAAGTCTGAACAGAACCAATTATACTCTGTTCAAATGATATCTATTATTTGTCTTAAGAATTCTTTCAAGAATTCTGTTAGTTACACAGGTGGAAACTATGCAACGTTATTGAGTTACTGAACATTAAGCCCTCCTTTTCAATGATAACCTGATCTGACTGTGAGGAAACTTAATAGTGATGTACTTTTGAACATGGGAAAAATTATTTAGAGAACCCAGAGGAGGAGAAACTTAATTTAGAAGTAGACTTTTTTAAAGAAGACTTTCTGGGAAAAATACCAAAAAAACAAAACAAAACAAAACAAAACCCAAAACAAAAACAAAAATCATCCTGAAAAAAAAAAACTCCACCAAAACTGTTGTGTCGTATGCTTCAGATGCAAGTTTCCTAGAGAAAGAACATGTATTGGTTTAGTGTGAATCACCATATTCAGAATTCTACAGTTCATGTGAACCTGATAAGGTCATGCTGGTTAACTAACATAGAATACCTTCTAATTTACAGCATTAAGGGAGAGGCTGCTTTAAAAGCTTATTAAGTGGTTTCATGGTAAAACCAACAATACTGAACAAAATTGAAACGAGTTTTTTAAAAACCTACCGCAAACTAGGGTCTGAACTGCCTAAATTAAGTAATGCAATATTGAGTAGGGTCCCAGGGACATCTTTTGGCCGAATCTTGGTATGCTGGGGGATGGAGTCAGGTTGTGACAGCTCCCAGCGTGTCCGGATGTGAATGATAGACTGAACAATGGCTTCGCACTCCTGGTGCATGAAGGTGAGTGGTGTGCCCTGGTTTGCAATAGTTAAGGTGAACTGGTTCTCATCCACTAGGCAGATCTCTTCAATTTCCGAAGCATAATAGATATCATTTAGAAAGACTGATTGCCCCAGGACTTTTGTTCGCTCAGCTGAGGTTACTTGAACAGCGGTAGAACCAACCTGGAAAATGGTGGTGAGATGAAGAGTGAAGAAGAATTAAATTTCATCATGTAGAATTCTAAGAGACTTCAAAAACTAACCAACCAACCAAACAAAATACTATGTTTGACATTTAAAGAAGAGTTACCACCATTATATATTCAAATGGGTTCAATAATTATTTAGATAAATACTCTCAAAAGAGACTGAAAACATCAGAAAAAATCCTTTTACTTTTTTAAAAGGTTGAGAGTCCTATGAAGAATTACTGATTTTATCCTGAAGCTTCACATTCCCACTCTGCAAAAAGCATGTAATAATCAGAAGAACTCTCAACAGGTAATTTCCACTCTCCACATATTCCTGCCATTTGACTGATCCATAGTAAATGCCCATTCTACAACACTCTCTTGCCTCCAATCCAACCAGGAATATCATTAAGTGTACACCTCTCCAATCTTCTGCAGGACCTCCACGAAGATAGAAAGCTTGGTTTTCCTCCATCTGAACTTTACATTTGATATACTACTACAGGGACACCTAGGGAGTCTGGTACATAGTCTAGTTAGTCAAGAAAGGCAATAAATCACTTACCCAACAGGGAGTGAAACTTACTTTAATAGAAACTTTGGTGTCTTTGTGAGCTAGCTTGAGAGCATTGTGGAATACCTTCAGATCCTCTTCTAAAGCCAACGTGGCAGCAGGTAGTTTCTGTTGTTCATGCTCAATGTGCTCAGCCAGTTTCCCAGGACAGTCTATGAAAATGAGCCTTTTGCTGCCTTTGAGGCCAGTCAGCAGCCGCTCATGGTACTTGGTATACTCCCTGACCCAGGAGTTACAGTTATAGATATAAACTGCACAGACATTGTCGTAAGCAAAGCCAGGAAAAACAACAAACCACTTGGAGAGAAAGTCTGTTTTAAAGCGATTGCTAGGCCCAGTATGGGTAAGGTCCACTACAATTTCATATGGCTTTGCATAATATGGCTTTAAAGTCAGCAAGACATGGTATATCAGCAAATCACCATTGATTTGACCAGTTTTGAACCTAAGAAAGACGACAAAAAAAGGACATTGTTAACAGAGTTCTGAATGAATTACAGACTCTACTAATCTATTTTATTCCTCTATTTTCTGGTTAGTTTTCTAGAGAAAGCCAACTACAATATAAAACAATTATACAAAGTCTGCAGCCATTTTTTAAATCACTTGTTCTTAAGACACTGAGAAGTAAGGCTGAACTAAAGTGGAAGAGACAAATCTCCAGTTCGAAAACTTCTGAGCAACCACAATAAACTTGCCTGCCATAGAGAAGCAAAGAAGAAGGAAATGGACATTGGTTGGTGGCCTCCAGGCCCACCAAAGTTCCCGTGTGAACAGAATGGATGGGAATGACCTACCTGGAGCCCTGGAATAAACTGAATGAATGGCTTTAGGTCATTCATTTAGCCCACCTTGACCAGAGAATGGTTTAGCCATGATCACATGACTCAGATCAGGACAACCAAGGCCAAAGAGGTCAAATGCAGAGACTTCAGCTTAAACTGTTGGGAATTGAGAACTTTCCTTTCCTCATGTTTATAGACATAGGAACACATACTCCTGAGAGTTGTTAACTTGGGTCTTGAGATATGAAGGAAGACCCTCCCTAAAAATTGAAGAAATGAAGCAGAGAAATGATGAGATAAACAGGGCCCTGACCATTTCATTTGAGTTCTAGATAAAGACTCCCGAGATCAAATTAATTCAGTTGTGTGAGCCAATAAATTCCATTTTTTGATTAAGCTATATTAGGTCATATGTTGCTTACACTCAAAAGAATGCTAATCAATCTGAGTAGTCAAGATAAGGACCATTAGAAAGCCCTGAAGAACATAGTATCAGAATTAAAAATCAAAACAACCTGTATTAACTTTGGCCCAGTGTTCTATACTTGATGACTCCGGTGTACTACATACTAAGCTAAGATAAATATCCTTACCTCAGAGTTTTTAATCTTATTAGGAGAAAATAAGATAAAAATATGACAAGTTAAATGATTTTAAAATAAAAGAAAAATATTTCAAGACCAAAGAAAAGATATGAAGTAGTATGTAGTCACCTGTCAAAGAAACTGTAGCAAAAAATACTTTTGTTAAGCTCAGATGAGGGAGAAATCAACAGAAACTGGAAAATCAGTGAAAACTACACTGGTTGAAGTGGGCAGGAGGAATTTCAAACTCAACAAGAGGAGGGATTGGCAGGCCTCATGGAAAAAAAATAGGTAACTAGAAATGTTGAGGTGAGAGTCAGCTAGTTTAGCTGGAATGGAGGATTCATGGAGAGAAGCTTTAAGAGCTAAAGCTAGAAAAATAGAGAATAGCTAACTTGTGAAGGGACCAAAATTGTCAACCAAGGGGCTCAGGCTTTCTCCAAGGAGCTGGGTACTTCTCAGAGTGTGCTCTGCAGAGCACCAGCATCAGAATCAACTGTGGACCTCAATAAAAATGCAGTTCCCCGGTCCTGGTCTCAGCCCAGACCTACTACATATGAATTTGTGTGATGGGGCCTGGAAATTTTCATTGTTTTAAACAACCTTATCATCTGATATTTATGTGCACTAACATTTCTGAATCACTGCTGTAGGTGTTATGGAGTTATTCAATCTTTTTTTTTTTTTTAAAGAAAGGGGTGATATGATCACAAAAAGTGATGTCTACAAGGTATGTGAAAGAGTTGGGGCTAGTGAAAAAGGTATTATGGTAGTCTAGGTATGGTCTAAAGAGGATCTAAAATACTAGGGTAACAGTGTAAGTAAGTGACAGTGAAAGAAGAAACTAATTCAAGAATATGAAGAAAGGACCAACATGATCAAGGTCTGAAAGGACAGACTCTAATTAAAAGGACTTGCCATGCCAAGGCTCTCTGAGACTACAAAGAATGTTGCTGTCATGAACGAAAACAGAGAGATCATGAGAGGCAGCCAATTTGGGGGAGAAATGAACTCCATTTTAGACAGACTGAATGTGAGGTGATGACAGGACATCTGAAGGGACAGTGTGTGGGTATACACATGAAACCACACAAAAGTATTTTCTGTCCCATAATGTTTACTAGATATTTTCTCAAGCCACTGTTGCAATTCCACACTTTGAGATGTTGGTTATATACATCCCTGTTACTATTATCTGATCAATACCCCAGATCTCCAAACTCATGTTATCAAGTCAGTCTGCAGTACACAAATAAAATTTTTAGAGAAGATTTTAATGTTCAATCTCAGGGAAAATGTCATTTTATCTTCTTTTGAATGATGCTAATATATCATTCAAAAGTACAGCAGGCATACAGAATAGACATACGGTCAAAAGGCATTAAGCAGAAAACCCTCCCTGCCCTAGAGGCGGGGATTTGTTCTACAAAGCCTCCTGTTATGCCAGTGGCCAACTAGACAAGTTGGAGTTTTTGTTTTTTTTTCCCCTGTGACATGTGCTTTAGTTGCAGTGGAAAGGAAATGTGTCATCTGTGGTTAGTGGAAAGCTAGCTGTACATATCCTTTTTTTTACTGCAGATTTACTTTTAAGTTCATACTCTCCAAGTCTATCCTGCTTTAAATTACTTGGAAGCTGTGCTTCAAGACAAGAAAAGAAGTGGCTTATTAAAATCAGGTTATAATAAGATTTTGAACAACCATTTTGTAAGGTAGGTCACATATATGTATGGCTTTTCTTCTGCTTTTTCACTTAACTTTGTACAGATTAGTGTTTGAGGAAGTGCTTTCAAACAGGACTTAAGAATCTTACTAACAAAGTAGCACTAGTAATTGAAATTGTATGCTGTTTTTTTCCATCCTAATAAGTAAAACTCAGGAAGGAAACGGAAAGATTTTAACACTGTTTTAAATTAGGATTAAGAACGATTCGAGTTTAGATTGTACAGTGAATTGTAAAGTTTCATTTGTCATTTTAAAAAGTTTAAAAAATAAATTTCTCATTACCAATGCTTAAGCATTACAATTTTACTGAAAATGACCAGAGATAAAGAAAACTTTTGATAACTTAACCTGGCCTCCATGGCATAAATTAGGGATGTAGAGACAGCTCTCTATTTTTAGGCATTTGTAAGGGTAAGAGAAAGTCTCATTTTGTTAACAGTTTGTTTATTTGGGGATGACAGTACATCTGGCTGAAGACAATCAACAGCGGGCCTATTATCTATCCCGTGGTAAGCACTGTTAAAATGTGTACGAACACTATGATGCATACCACATTGTTAATGAACTAATGTGACAAGAATAACCCGCTTTAAATTGTTTTAGCATCTAATGCAGAAGTCCAGTCTAGTATAAAAGGATCGAAATTACTTGCTAACCCAATTTAAAGTATTTCTCTTTGTGAAAGAATCATAAAGTATCCAAAGGTTTATGTCATTCAACTTAAAAACTGAAGCTAAACACTATTACGTAGACGTCAGTGTACAGTCTCTTTAACTATCATTAAAGGTCATAATCTAAAAAATAATCTTTAAAAAATAATCCTATTTCTCAAACACAAAATAAAGGTCTTTTTCCTCCCTGTTATCAATATGAAATATTACTTCACAGGTTTGTTTCCAGTTAGCATTGTTTATTATATGCTACTTTTATTTGTATAACAACATACCACATTTGTTATTCTCAATTTCAGTACACCAGTAGTATACAAATATTATCCAATGACAATATAACAACTATTTCTTAAAAATAACCTTGAAACTCAAAGAAACATGACTAGCAGTAGCATCTGTGTCACCTGGGAGTGGGTTAGAAATGCAGAAACTCAAATCCCTCCTAGACCTACAGAATCAAACTCTGCATTAAAAAAAAGGCCCCACATTCAACTCTGAGAAGAACTTTCTGTGACATAAATAAAGTTCTTAAACAGGCAGTTTTATTCAGAAACTCTCAGGAGAATAATCTAGCTTCTGTTTCTACTTCCTTATTCAAATAAATGCTAACAATAAAATACTCTTACAAAAGTAGCACAAACGAATATTACAAGAGAGAATCCTATAATGGTGATAAAACTTTCTTGCTGGTCTACCAGTACCTGGAACAGACATACCCATTGTATTTAAACTAAATCTTCAATCATACAGCGGATAATGAAAATTAGGAACAGGCTTGTTTCCTTTGTGGACTGGCTTTTAGGGACCTCAGAGCCAACACTGAAATTCAATTCCTTCATTTATATACTGAGACTTGAGATATGCCTTGAAGTCCCATTTTAGCCTAAATCCCCATGATCCTGATGCTGTTTTTCTTTCTGTCTGATTGTGTAATTTATTTTTAAAAATTATGTCAAAATATTCATAGAAAATAATGATGAAAAAACTCAGTCATTCTTTTTGTTTGTTTGGTTCTTTTAGGGAGGGGGGGTGTTATTTATTTATTTGATAGATACCACTGAGCCATACCTTCCCCTCGAAAAGTATATCACTTTTGTTGGACTTTTGAGATTATTCAAAAGAAATCTGCCTCTTTTTCCTTGCCATGACAGACATTTAGGTTGAGAAAAGGAGCATGCTTTTGCTTGCAGAAAACCACAGTAAGTCAGGGAATAGAGAGGTGAAAAGAGAGACCCACAACCATAAAACAACCTTCACAATATTGAGAATATATTTCTAAGTACCAGCTTTATTCTAAGCTTCAAGATAAATACTAAAGAAGAAAAAAGAACACCTTGAATTCCTATCTGAAGTCTGTTTTCTTTTGGTGCTACCGTAGTTCCCCTGTCCTGACTATTCCTCCAAAAAAAATTTTTTTTGCATTTTCTTTTCATACATGAAGCAAAATGTCACATTTCTTCGTTACTATAACGATTGGTGACACATTTGTTAGCGGGTGGGGATTTTCTGCAAAGAGTTTCCTTAAATGGTCAGGAACTAAAAAAGGAGGAATCAAAGTAAAAGCAGAAGCATCTGACTCAAAACTAAAGTCCAGAACGCTCTAGGGGAAGAAAACCATAAAGCCATGGTATTCAGTTTACAATGATTAGTAGTTATTCGTAATGCTATCTTTTAGCATTTAAAAGAATAATGTAAGTTAAATTGTTTCTTTATAATGTAGCTTAATAGAAAAAAAAATCAGTTCAGAAGGAACTCAAGCAGGATAGCAAATGTCAGGCATGAGTTTGTAGCTTATTTGTAACATATCAGCTGTCCATCTTTTACTACAATTACCCAAACTAGGAACCATTGTTCTCTCACAAGTTAACAAATTATATTGCTATCCCAACAGATTACCAGTACACTCACGGACATGGAACACACAGGAAATTACCTGCACCTTGCCTTTCTGATGACAACAGTTTTTTCTTTGTCTCCCGGAACAAAAGCAAACTACACACATCTGTGGACTAATAATACTGTTGTCTGGGATCCAGATATTCAAAATAAGACAGGCAGAAGCCAAAATGAAAACATTAACACAAACCCTACAACTTCTGAAGTAGATAAAAAAGGTAATTCTACAAACATGCCTGAAATAGCAACATCATCTCACATGATGTCTTTAACTCCTAAAACTGAACTGGAGCTTTATATATCTTCTGTTGTCAGGAAGAGTTCTCCAACAGCCCAGAGCATTGAAAACACAAGCAAAAATCACAGTAAAATTTTCAAAAAAGATGCTTGTGAGGAAAACAACAACAAAATGGCCATGCTAGTTTGCTTAATTATAATCGCAGTGCTTTTTCTTATCTGTACCATTTTATTTTTATCAACTGTGGTTCTGGCAAACAAAGTCTCATCTCTCCGACGTTCAAAACAAGTAGGCAAGCGTCAGCCTAGAAGCAATGGCGATTTCCTGGCAAGCAGCGTTCTATGGCCTGCTGAATCAGACACTTGGAAAAGAGCAAAACAGCTCACAGGGCCCAACCTAATGATGCAATCTACTGGCGTGCTCACAGCTACAAGGGAAAGAAAAGATGGAGAAGGAGCTGAAAAACTCACCAACTAATGGATGCTTTAATGAAGAAAAATGCAAAGTGGCAATGAGAAAGTTTCGGGAATCAAAATGAAGTCAGTTTGATACTTAAAGCCAGTGTGTTGCTCTGATGGTCTAAAACTTGACATGGCAGGCCTTGCAATTTAGAATCAAGCAGGTGAGAAGGGGAGAAGTATGCCTGATTACTCAATTACTTAAACTGCACTTTTGTTCTGACACTGACTATTTTAAAAAGCTAAAAAATAAAACAAGCATTTGAGGAAAGTCTTAAAGATGAGGTGAAGGAATTAATACAGGTAGAAAGGAACAATTAAATAAAGATTTCCTGTCCAGCAACAGTAGTTAGATGATCTTCGTCTAAATGTAATTAAATTTTGTAGAGTTTCAGTGTGCCATGAGGCAAATAAATGCTTTAACATCTAATAGAAGTCACCTTCCTAATGCGTAGAGTTGAACTGTATAGTTAAATGGTACTTTCTTTGCTGAATGTGACAGAATCCATGCCAGCTCATATATCAGCACAGCTAATTGTTATGCTAGATGTTTTCATCTTTACATACGGTACACATAAGAAAGTGTTCTTCTACTATAAATATTTAATTACAACCTTTGATTTTGTATAATAAATTAAGACTCATTAGAATAAAAATTACTGCGTATATTTGCATTCACTTTATTACCTTAGGGCTCACACTACAAAGATCAGTAAGAAATACAGCACAACTGAAACATATGAGATTTACAGTCACAAGAGAAGGCCAGTGTAAATGTAAAGCATATCTAAGTGTAACATCACTCTGTAAGTATTGCTTATTGGATTATTTATCGCAAATATCCAAAGGTGGATTATTCTCGACTTCAAGAATGCCAAGTGGCCTAATAAATGACCAGTTTTATTTTTTTTACTATCAATATGACATAGGCAAAGATGCGTGTGTGTTTGTTCTAATTTCAGGTTAATTGTTTAACCCTTAAAGAAACTGGGTTCAAGCAAAATAATGACTTACATTTAAGTCAAGACTTAAATCTTCAATTCAATATATTACAAAAATTGGTTTGAGAGACTTTCCAACTGTCCACTGAAACTGACACAGGTCACACTTAAAGATCAGGCCACATTAAACAAAACAAAACAAAACAAAACTCATCCCTTATTGGGGCATTTATTTGGGGCAAAATGCTAGCCATTTAAGAAAAGATTTTATATATATTTTCCAAGTATGACCACAACCTTATCCTCTCTCCTAGGTGAGTGACTCTCGTCCTGTGAATCAGATTTACCCAAAGAGTTTAAATCCACCAATGCCTAATTCACACCCTCCTAATTTAATTAGAATGGGGTGAGCTACAGGCATTGATAATTTTTGCATAATTTCCTAGGTCATACTGCTCTTGGATACCAAATTCAATTCTTAAAAGCTCCATGGCTCCAAAGATCTAGGTTACATTTTTTTTTTTAAGGTTGCATCTTAAAATGATGATGGGGAGAAAAAAAAGCATCAATCTTATTATCAATTTATTACCAATTTATAAAAAATCCATTTTCTAAGCAATAAATCATAAACATACTATTCCAGACAACGGTAAACATCAACAAAGAAAAAAAGAAAGCAAGAGAGTACTCATGCCAGTCGTGGTGACATCTTTTGAGGGGTAAAAAGGACCACACTTGAAATTAAACTGGGCAGAGCTCCCATTCTGTGCAAATTAAAAATCTGGGATTGTGTACTAAAATAAATAGTGATAACACAAAGGAGTCCTTGAACCAAGTGTCATATATAAATACTGGTCAGAGGAAACAAACAAATTAGTGTCTTTTTTTTTTAAATGAGAATTTAACTAGGCAACTACTTCCTATTCAACATACAGGTAAAAGATTTTCTCACAAAACAGAAAGCTCCTACTGCAGGAATACTTAAAATTCATCACTATCTGGGCTATTAAACACACAACCTCAGAATGACAGCATCCAATAGTAGCTCATGAATAAACAGAAGTGGTTCCTTTCCAGACTTGACCAGTGTTTAAAGATGACAGGTTAAGATATGTTTTGAATTCAAATTTTAAGTTATTTTTGAACAAAGACACTTTTGTTTTCTACTCTTGGGTGACATGGTTCGCATGATTAATTCAGGGATTTAAAAACAGTGAATCAAAAAATTATACCATATTGATTATATTCTGCTTTAGAGCAGAAGTCACCTAAAAAAGAAAAAAAAATCTATTCTTTTTGTACCAAATCATAAGTACCTTGAAGTTAAGAACTAGGTCTTAATAATCTGTGTTCCTCTGCAGTGACCGGGGGGAAGCAGGGCATGGTTTAATAATTACTGTAGCCACTATAACAGGTGTCATGTTAGGCACTTTACATTTATTTAATCCCATAATACACTTATAAATTAAGAATTATGATCTCCATTTTTCAGATGAGGAAAGAGGCCAGAAGGTGACTTGCCCAAAGAAGTTTGTATTCAGACTGACCCATACTCTTCTCTAAACATACTTCGCTTAGTTAACTTATTTAAAAGATGATTCCCATTTTGCTTTTGACCTGAGAATTACCTGTTTTGTGAGTAATCAAAGAGCTGTGGACTTAAAACTCAAAAATCATTTGGTAAAGTATTTAGTGAAAAATTAATTATACTTATACCTGGGCTTAGCCTAAATTATGTATGAAGAAACAAAATTAACATTTACTGGCTATCTATTGTGTGTAAAGCATTTATACATGTTATTCTACTTAATCCTCACAAAACTTAGTAATAAAAATATTCCTCCATAGGAGGAAATGGTGACTCAGAAGTGCAGCGCTTGCCTAAGGTCATACAAGTAAACAAGACACATCATTAACCTCTTATGAAAAGAAATCTCACTATGGGTAATAACAGAACTGGCAGTTTTTCCTTATAACATACAATTTTCTCTCCAAGGTTCTATTTTAAATACTTAAACTATACAATCACATTACTAGAGAGTCTCAAATGTTTACCTATAAGTGCTAATTAAAAGTACTCAAATCATGTAGCTCCAAACTGTGTTTCAAAATAAGTTCTGTTAAAGTAGCACATTTCTTAGTCATTTTGTGGCTTATTGCACTTCCGGAACCAACTACAGATAAACTTCCTCTTTTTCTACAGAAACCATCTCGGTTTGCTAGAGGACCATTTATAATCTGAATTAAACCACTCCTTTTGCTTTCTTAGCCAAATCACCAAAATGTCCAGTTAGAGCAAGAATTTAGCATTCTGCAAAAGAAGTTAAAGCTGAGGTAAGAAACTTTTCACATAGGCAATCTGGTTTGATCTTTGCTTTATGTAAAATTTATTTTTAAAACCAAAATGTCGTTATTATTTGAGACTTGGAGTATGACAGTCTACAGATGTGTATAGCAGGTATTGTGGTTTTATCACATGGAATTTTAAAAATTCAGTGTTGAGTTTGCCTTGGAGAAAAATTTTCACTTAGGTTAATATAAGCCCTTTAAAGTTTATTTAATCATTATGTTTGTTAACCTTTGTTCTGTAACCAGAAGAAATAAACTATAGCCATGGCAGATGAAGCTTTATTTCTAAGGCTTAGAAATAAAACTAGAATCCATGGCATATGGCTGCATTTACAACCCCAAAATATTGATTATTCAAAATTCTGATTTGCTTTCTATAAAATTTTCCTGTATATAGCATAATCCATAGATTTACATTATTTTCATTTTTAAATTTTCTTTAGTTTCCATAATAAGAATGGTCACTTTCACTTAATTAAAAAAAAAAAAAAGGAAACCAAAGGTGATTGGATGAGATACTCATTATCATTATATATGCTTTATTTTTTACAAATAGAAGTTTAAATTTAAGTAATAATGACATGAAAATATTATCCATCATTTGAAAGCTAAGACAAAACTGCTATGATAAAATATGTGTACATATACTTATACCATCCATATATTTGTCACGTATTTGAGCCTTTAGTAAACAGTGTGGGAAAGGAACACCCACAGAATAGAAAGTTGTTAATATGGAGAAAAGATGGTTATTCTGTGAGTAAACTGGGCAACTATAAAGTGAATATCCTCCAAAATAAATGATGACAAAGAATTTACATAGATATGTAATATCACAGAATAATAAATTCATAATGGGTGACAGCCTACTTCAATATTTCATTAAGTACTTATGACTCTCCCTTACAGCAGTCTACTTTGGATTTCTTCTAAGTAACTATTACAGAAGTTAAAAGATAAAGATTCTTATCCTTTTATTGGACAAGATGTATCTATGTATTTTTAAAGGGTCAGCCCCAAATGTAGAGTTTAACAGTGCTTGTGTTTTTCAACTAACTCCTATGTAATTCTACTTTGAAGGAAATTATGAATTCTGAATAAGTCTGAATTTGTTAAATATAAATCTGATGCCTCTCAGTGTCCAATCTTTAAATATCACCTCAAATATGACAGCTTATAGACTAACCATTGAAAACTTCCTTAACCGTTTTCAGTCACAGGACTAAAATGGTTTTCTGGTAGTTCTTTTCCAAACTTTTATACAAGACTATCTCCAAAAGTTACCTATGTATCTGTGCCCAGAGAGTTCACATCTCCTCCCCTCTTAAAGCATTATTTTTTTTCCTCCTTTCTCAGTTTTATTAGATAGAATTATTATAGTTCGACTGCACATACACATTATATTGCATGCAAATACATATATACAGTATACTGCACTTTTTTTTAGTTTACATATATGTACTAATTCTTGTTTTTAAGAACAGATTAGATATTTAGCTTTTTAAACTTACATAGTTATCAAAGGAATAAAGCCAACTACAAAATAAGAATCAACAGAATTCAGTAATCCAATCATAAAGGACAGTCAAATGTGCTTACACATATGCAAGAAATCAAAATAATAATTAGTTCATTTGTATTCTTATTTCATAATTTTACTATGAATGTAACAGAAGGAAAAAGCTCCGGTACAAGATTGACTGGTTTCTGTGTCAGTGCACTATTCAGATCTGTGATACTCTGGCAAGTTACCCTATTTCTCTGTGCCTCAGTTTTATTTGTAAGATGATGATAACATCACCCTGCTCATTAAAACGGGATAGTGCCTAGCATTGGTGTGTACTCGGTAAATGGTAGCTATTATTATCAAAAAAAGATGGTCATCAAATAATTCCTATCATAGTTCAAAGTTAATTTCCTTTTCTACTCTTCCTCAAGATATGGAATTGCTGTTTTCTTCCTTTCCTGGTTTCATAACTTTATTAGTTGGAGATGCAGTACCACTAAATTTTAATCTACCGTATCTGTATTGTAACAGTACATCAAAGTAACTGAAATTCAGATGCTACTTTTGATACTGCTACCTACACTTGCCTTGTCGAGGATATGCTCTCGAAATCTCCTTGATTCCCTTTAAAAGACAATGACATCTTATCATATCCAACTTAACAGCGTTACTAAATGCTAAACTTTTTATGTACTTACGCATTATGTCTATGAGAACATGTCTAATACATGGGCACTTCTGCTTCACTATAACTGCCTTTAAAATGTCTAGTTAAAACAGCTGATATTTTTCTTCTTCTCTTTAAAAATTCTTCAATATTCAGGAAAAACAGAGGACCAAAATCACAGACTTAAATCTTCAAAGTCCCAACCTAAAATAAGGAGCAAAATACTGTTGTACAAAGGTAGACAAATTCAGAGTTTGCCTGAGCAGCAGACTAAGGGATTTCTAGAAAAACACTGCATAGATTGTGCATAGATTCTTTAGAGTAATTAACGAGTATGCTGCTGGATAGTGCCAGGAACAGAGAGAGAGAGAGAGAGAATGAGAATGAATATGAATCTTAAAGATACTTATAGCAGATACGAGAGCCTGAAATGAAAGATAAGAGACTTTGACAAGATGGGTGATTTAAGTCCTCCATTTTGGGAAGATCACTCCTCTTTGCTGGTTCCCCGCATCCACAAAGACAGAGAATACTATTTTGTGGCTCCTTCTTTCATCTACTTCTACCTTCTCCCCCAACTTCTAATTGCATCCACTTTAATCTTTTACCCTAACTTCTTGCTAAATATAATCACTATTTGTTCTTCAGTTTTTTAACTTTTCTTCTTTTCCTTCTCTAATCAGTTTACATTCTACTTTTCCATGTATTTGCTGCTTACTATAAGTTTTGCCTTATTTTTTCTTCTGTGTTTTTTTTTTCTCCCTTTGCATTCCCTTTTCATTTCATCTTATCTGACATCTTCTCCTCCTTTTTACTTACTCCACTGCCCCGTATGGTTCTTTCTACCTTCTTTCCCTGCAGAAATAATACTGGCACTTCAGGCACACATGTTTTTTATATACTTAAAGTACATGTTAAATAGCTTTCTGCACTGGTAATAACACTGGCCTCACTGTCTCTGAACTAAAAAAAATTCAGATTCTTCATTATTATACCCCCTATTTATTCTTTTAAATCTGGTTCCTTTTTTGTGGACTATTCTGAATTGCTGTAGAAGAATTCTAAGACAAAGTCTAGTATTTTGATGTAACAGACACTAAGAGGGTAGACAGCTAACTGAGGAGTTGGAGAAAGGAGTGGGATAGGTAAAAAATAGAATTTGATTTTAATGCTGCTGCAACCCTTAAATGACAAGTGGAAAATCTTACACAGTGAAGGTCCTGTGATGTTCCTATTAACAAAAGAAGCTATGAACCTATCAAAATCGATCTTACAAACTAAACTGGGTTTATAATTATGTTCCTATTTGGGCTCTTTCCTTCTCTAATGCCTTTTTCAGCTAACTGAAAAAAGGAACTGTGTGGGTTTTTTAAAAAAAATTAAGCAAACTCACAAAAGAAGAAACATTTTTTGCTGAAGACAATTCATGGCCTATATTTTCTGTTGCTATGGATGACATTTTTAAAAACTAAAATGAAACTCTGAAGAATAACACTTTCTAATGAGGCTTTTTTGGTGGGGGGGAGTAAGAATAGTAGGTAGGAACTGCATAGATGATAACTATCTAGCGATGATTCAAGTCCCCGTATTTATGTCAGAAGTTTCAAATTTTTCCCCACTAAACCTTTTGGAAAATGGATATAAAGTGTGATTTAGTAACTTAGATTTCATCTTCTCCATTTACAGTCTGGTGATTGTATTAAAAAGTAGTAAAAAGGCAAAATGGTAAAGAACCTAGAAGTCCAATACAGGTTAAATGTTTACTGAGCTCCTAACACATATAGCACTGTGCTGTAAAGGAATCAAAATATAAAAACATGAGGCAGCTGAAAATAAGAAAGAACGTATGCTTTGGAATCAGATGGCCTTGGGTATAAATTCCCAATCTGTCACTAAGTGATACAACATTTGGCATATTGCTTAATGTATTTGAATTTGTCTCTTTTATCTGTAAATCTTCTTCATAGAATCATTTAAAGGCTAAATAAAATGAAGTATGTAAAACACCTGAGATGGTATAGTACATAGTATGTTCAAGATAAGGATTTTTCCTTTTTCCTTCACATTTCTTTGTAATCTTATTTGAGGGGGTGGGGACAATAAAAAGAAAGTGTGAAAAATTAAGTAATAAAAAATAAACACAATTATTTAAGAGAAAAGAAATGTGAGGAACATACATGAAGAATTCTCTAAGAAACCATAAAGACAACAAGAACGAGGCGGATCCAGGGAATGGCCGAGCTCTTTCAGCTGTGATCAGTCACAGAGAATCTGGTGTCAGAAGGGAAATCTAAGCTGAGGTCTGCCAGATGAGGACAGGTTAAATTAGGCAGCCAGAAGGTGAAAGAGGCTGGGTTTGGAAAAAAGAGAACACACTCTGAGACGGTGAAAAATAGTATAATTAAAAGTGTCTGTTTAGAGGGAAAAAAGTGTGTGTTTAGGAAGTATGTAAGATGGGGAAGAGGCTGAATAAGAAGTTTCAGTCATGAGACATGCGTCTAGACTGGTAAACTCGAGACAGAAGGAAGAAAACTCAGTTTGGAATTTTTATCTTGACAGCAATGGGGAACCCTAGAGGAAAGGGAACAGTAATCTGATCATACATGGTTGTAAGAAGATTAATTCATCAGCAGTGTGCAGGAAAGTTTAAAGCAGAAATATTTTAAAATTTAGGCTTGAAGTATTAGAAAACAAAGAGGAAGAGACTGTACAGGAAAAAAAATCACATGTCTTTTCTCCTACTAAAATAAGATAATCTGTCATCACTGTGTACCAAATGGTAGAGAAATGAGCAGTGAGAATTACTCAAATATGCTGAAAAGTCTATTTATTTGCAAAACTTGAAGGAATTCCTCTTCTCCATTTATTGTACCTTGCAAAGACCATCAAATCTCTCTCAGATTGGCCTAAAAATCACACAAAAACTATAGTTTTGAGTCATATATTCCAGGATGTAACACCTTGAGTAACACTAGTTACCATTGTGTTTAATGATGTGCAAAACAAGTATTATACACAGAGCTGAAAACTGTCCTCACTTAAGAGATAAGGCATTTGACAATAGGAGAAATTAAGTGACTAGTTCTCAGGTTAGCTAGGTAGTTAGGTGGCAGACATACAACTGGAACTTAAAACCCTTCAAGTTTTAGCATCTGCCCCATCCCACAAAACACTCCACCCACAAAACTTATACCCATACCTTCTTTTCCTATGCCCATTTGTTGTTCCCCTGGCTGAAACATTTCATTTGCTTAATTAATTCCTACAAACCTTTCAAGATTCAGTTCAAGTTTTACTTCTCTGAGAAAACTTCCGTGAAGCCCTCCCAGGCTAGGTTAGTTCCTCTGTGCATCTCCTGCATGGCTTTGTGATAAAACTTGGCAAATTATTGTATTTACTTATTTGCTGTTTGCTTCTATCACTAGAAATGAAAAAAAAATTTTTTTTTTGGTATCTTCTAAACTAGAACAGGACCTGACACAAAGATGTTGTTTATAATAAATAAATAAATACAAGCAGCAGCAGGACTATTTACTAACTGGATAGGACTGACTCAACCAGAGTCAAAGACCACTTCAGGATTCTGAGCCTAGGACTATAAGTTGAACTGAATCCTTTAAAAATATGAGATCCTAATATAAAGACACTGTTCTAGACACTGCTGCTGCTGCAAAGATTACTTAATACAATGGACTCTGTGCATGAGAAACTCACAAAGGTAGTATCACTAACAAAAACAGAGGAGTTGGGAAAGGAATCATTTTGAGATGAAGATAAATTATGTTTTAAGTATGTTGAATTTTGCTAATAGTGGGATATATACACGGAAATATCCACCAAGAAGTCATACAAATGGAACAAGAATTAAGGAAATTAAGGCTGGATACACAAGTTTGGGAGTTGTAGTGTAAAGGTGAGCGCTAAAACCTCACAGATTCAGGATTAAGAAAAGTAGTTAAGGGTGAGGACTGAGTACGTATCAAGTACCATATTTAGAAGGCAAGAGAAAAACAGGAGCTAGTGAGATTAACATGAAGGAAGATGATCAAGAGAGGAAAAAAAGAAGAAGAAGAAAAGACCACTTGATTAGGTAATAGATAGTTACTGGTATCCTTCAAGGCAGCAGGATCAAAGTATTTCTAGCAATAGAAGGAGGGTAAAGTAGAGCACATGAGGTACCAGCATACAGAGCCTATGCATTTGAGAAGCACGGCTGTGAGATGAAGACCTGTAATGTAATAAAGCTACAAGGGCAGCAGGGCCAAGTACTGACCTTATGAAAGAATTAAGAGAGATCATTGCCTATGTGGTCCAAATGTTACATAGTAAGTTAGAGTATATTTAAAAGTTGCTCACATTAGCCTACAGTAGATCAAGCCTAACTAAAGTAGGAATGATATATACTTATCAAGTAACTACCTCCTTTATGCTAAACACTAAATGATACCTTATTGTCTTTCTTTTTTTTATTATTATAAAACCACTGGTAAAGAGGAAACATTCTGAAATGGATGCCAAATATTTCATCTTAATTTTGTTTTGTGGACACCTGAACAATGTATTTTTCTCGGAGACAGAGGCGATTACAACAGAGAAGGAACAACTGTCTACTTTATTTAGATCATCAATGCCATATGTCTCCACTAATTCTCAAGGTACAACACAGAATCCTTTGGGTCAACGAACGCAATTCAGCAACCTTTCCTCTGGACAACCAGTATCAACTGCTAAAGCTGCTGCTGGACAACCAACGCCAGCTGCCTATGCCTCTTCTGAGAAACCAGCAGCATCCACTTCTGCTGGACAACTGCTTGCCCATAATGTCACCAGAAAACCAATACCAACGGCCAACACCTCCTTCCCAGGAACAGCCATACCTGTGTTCACCTCTGCCAGACAACTGTCATCATCTGACCATACTTCTACCAGACAACCACCACCATTTGACTATACTCCCCCTCAACAACCATCATCTATGCACACTTCTAGAAAATTAACACCAACGACTGCTCATAATCTAGCCACAAAACCAAAACGAGCTATCAGAAGTACACCAGGATTCATCCTAGAAACTATCAGTAACAAAATTACCCCAAAGAGTACCAATTCTAATTCAATAGCTGCCATATTAATTGGTGTAATTATGACTTCTATGTTGGTAGCTATAATCATGATTGTATTATGGAAATGCTTGCGAAAACCAGTGTCAAACGACCAAAATTGGGCAGGTAGGTCTCCATTTGCTGATGGTGAAACCCCTGATGTGTGTTTGGGTGACATCAGAGAAAATGAAGTATCTACAAAACGTACATCAATTATTTCACTTATGGCCTGGAAACCAAGCAAAAGCACGCTTTTAGCAGATGATTTAGAAATTAAGTTGTTTGAATCAAGTGAGAACATTGACGATTCCAAAAACCCCAAAACAGAGAAAATAAAAGATCAAGCAAATGGTACATCAGAGGATAGTGCTGATGGATCAACAGATGGCACTGCAGTTTCTTCTTCAGATGATGTAGATCTGCCTCCACCGCCTCCTCCCCTTCCTGATTTGGAAGGACAGGAGAGTAACAAATCTGACAATCTCACAATGACAACTGTATCTCCTCTTCCAAGTGATTCCACCAATTTCCCACCACCTCTGGACTGTCTCGATCAAGTCTGTGAAGATCATAATTCTGAGGTCAAACAGTCATTTCCACCTCCCCCTGAATCACTTAACTTGCCCCTGCCATCAGCAGATTTTGTGAAAAACCAGGAAGATTCCAACAATGAGATCCAGTGTCAGGAGTTTCCTACTCCTCCTGACTCTGATCAGGATCTCAATGAATCCCTGCCACCTCCATCTGCAGAACTGTTATAAATATTACAACTTTCTTTTCAGCTGATTTTCCATTCTTCTCCAAGGACTTTATCTTTTGTTTTTCTTCATGTGATGAACTATATTAAATGGCACCTGGTAGCCAATTTTGATTTTTATTCAGGAACTACCTGAAATCTGCTCAAAGCCCATATGCATAAGTAGAATTTTTAAAAATTATGTAACAGTGATCTATTGACTGGCTATAGGACCTAACTTTTAAGTATAGTACATTTTACATATGTGGATGGTATGTATATCAATATGGTATGTGTATCAATAACTAAACCATTTTGGAAATAAGCAATCTACATATACTTATTATTACCCAAAAGATTTTTTTCCCTGAAAAGCTGTGAATAAATAAAATTTTATTTTTCCACTTCAAAGTTTGAGGGGGGAGGTGAGAATTTAAATACACACTTCAAGTTCTAAACAAAACTCTTAAGTTTTAAATTAATATCTCAGATATTAAATATTCCAAGTTTGTGGGGGTGAGAGGTTAAAATGCCTGTTTGAGAACAGAGAAATTTCCTTTCAGCTTTCACTGGAAACAATTAGGGTAAAACAAACATATTAAAACAACAAATTGAGGGGGTTGGAGACATTTACTCTGAAAAAAATATGACCATGCACCATAAAATGCAGACATTTTCCTATCTTGTTGGAGGAGCACAAATTTTAAAACTAGCCTCTTTAAAAAGTTTCTTTTCTATATGTCTCAAGCTCCCAAACAAAATGAAATCTTATGAAAGGTTTAAAAAAAATACACCTGTATGGCTTCATTCCAACTTTTGATGACTTTTTCAGAAAAAAACAGATTATATCAACATACAGATGGCTCTCAACTCTCACTAAACTCATGCTTTCTCATATGTAAAAACTCTTAAACCACCGTTCTTATGCAGAATTTCATCTTTTATTCATTACCTGACAAATGATAAATCTAAGTAATCAGAGCAGGGGTGGACCCAATCATTGACAAAGTTAACGTGGAGAGAGCTCATTGGCTCACACGGGTGGAGATGCCAGCCTGTGCCTACAGAAGGACTTCTTTGCCCTCCTTACCCCTTCCGAAACTCCTGGGGGAAACAGTCCCTTAGAATGAAACATGGTGGCCTTAGTGGTAACTTATCCTTGGAGAACCTCTCACAGTTTTGGTTTTGTCAGAATAAAATTCAGTATTTATCTTCAGCACTGGTATTCAAGAAACTAACAAAGCTCCATCTTAATAAAAACTAGCAGACTTTTGGACATTAAAATTTTTATATCTAATGTTTCTCTTTAAATCTTTAAAGAAATCCCTTACTGACTATTAAAACTTATCTTCCTTGAGCTTATTTTTCCTGAATAAGCATGATGTTTCTCAAACTATGTTGGTTTTCTTCTGTCTTCCACATTAAAATGTTTCTTTCATGTTTTTCAAATTTAGCACTTTTAAGGTTAATTTATCCAACAACAATTAGTAATTTAAGAATTTCCTATTTTTTTTAATTTTAAGTATTGTAATTAGGATAAGTAAGATAAAAAGTTTTTATATTTGGTCAAGACTTAGACATGCCTTCAATCGTAACTTTTCTATTTTCCACATGTAAGATTGTTACCTAGCAGGCTCTTTTCACACTTTCACTCCTCTTTTCCATCACTTTCTTTCTTGACCTCTTGAAGGAGGATTATTAGGAAATACAGGGAAATACCAATCCTCATAGATAAATAAGGAGCTGTGACCTGGTCATAGTCTTGTCTGATTTCTTCAAACACTACACAGGCAGTTTTCTGCCTTCTGTTCTTTGTGCCACAGAAGAACAGGCTACTGTCAACAGCTGGTTTTTGTTTTTAAGAAATTCTCTGTCAGGGGGAAAATAATTCCTATTTACTTCATGTAATTTTTCCTCACTGAGATCAGTGGGAGCTGAACAGCCAAACAGTGGCAATCCTTGCCTAATCAGCAGAAAGAAATGCAAGCTAATCAAAGAAACATAGGAGAAAAGAAAATGCTGGAACAAAGAAAAACCTACAGAAAAGATTAAGGAAGCAGGATTCAGAAGACCAAGTATTTTTCAGAATATGGCAAAAGAACAAGGCACAGGGGAATGAAAAGTAGACTGGACTACATACCAGCGGTGCTTTTACCAGATAAGTATTAACCAGATTCAGAAACAACACTCAAGACCATCTAGTTCAACTTGTTTTATTTGTTAACTGCTGAGAAAACAGGCCCAGAGAGAGTAAATGACTTGCTTAGGAGTGGTTCGGAAAGCCAAGTTTGTTCCCTGACTCTTGGTTCAGCATTCTTTTCACTAACATAGGACCAAAGAGCACCTACTTTATGTACTGCAACAGACATGTATCACATATATATTCCATTCGGTGTTGGTGGTGGGCAACACAAAGAACCAGATGAGGGTGACTCTAATTGTTGTTATTCTGAACAAAAAGTAAAGCAGCAAAATATATGGGCACCTATATATAAGTAAAACACTGTGATACTAACGCATGGCTAGACAAACAGATCAATGGAACAGAATGAAAAGTCCAGAAATAAACTAAAATCCCAAATCAGCAGAAAAGTACAGGGACAACTGATAGATATTTGGAAAAAGATAAAATTGGATCCATACTTTATAGTACAAAAGAATAAACACCAAATAGATCAGAGACCTAAATATAAAATATGAAATTATACAAATAATAGAAAAAAGATAAGTGAATTCTTTTGTAATCCAGAAGCAATTTTTTTTTAAAAAAAGGAAAATCCAATCAGGTAAACTTTTTAAATGTTAAAAAAAAAAACACCTTTGTCTAAAGACAAAAGGCAAACTAGAGGAAAAATGTACAACTTAAATTAAGACAAAGGGCTTATATATTTGAAATTAAAAAAACCTAAACATGGATGGGGGGATACAACACAACAAATACGAAGAACATATAAAAGACCGTCACAGAAGAGAAAATTCAAATATTCCTTAAAAACATATAAAAGTATGTAACTTTTCTCATAATAAGAAAGATACACTTTAAATTACACTGGAATACCAATCCCTATCAGATGGGTATAAATCCAAAAGTATAGCAACAAAGCCTACAGTGAGGCTTCACAGAACTAGACATCCTGATATATTGCTGGTAGGACTGCAAAACAGTGCAACCTATAGAGAGAAATTTGGTAATATCCAGAAAAATTCCAAATGCACCTACCTTTTTACTCAGCAATCCAACTTACAGGAACTTTTTCCAAGAGTCATTGGACAAAATATACAATTACTTAGACACAAGAGTATTCACTGTGGCATTATCTGTAACAGCAAAAGTCTGGAAACAACCTAGACGCCTATCAACAGGACACTGATTAAATAAACCATGGTATACTTCCAAATGGAGTACTATGCATCATGAAATGAATGTGAAAGATCCCTATATACTGACATGGAGTGACTTTCAAGACATATTATTAAGAATAAAAGAATAAGATGTGTAGCAGTCTATTTAGTATGTAACCTTTTATATAAGAAGGGATGGACAGGAACATATGATTTACACATACATATTTTTGTTTGTTTTCAAAAATAAAGACTGTTAAGATACAACCAAAAGCTAATAAAAATGGTCACCAATAAGAAGAGGAAAGGAACAGACTGGAGGGGACAAAGAAGCAAGATTTCCCAGAAGATACCTTGTTATACAGTTTGGACTTAAGCTGTCCCTAAAAACTAGTAAGTAACTAAAATAAATAAAGCTAACTTTATGTAAAGTTGGTGATATTAAAAATAGAGAAAACAATTACTTGCAGTTTCATTAGAATACAGAATTGACTATACATCCTTAGTAAAATATATTCTAAGAACAAATAGAGCTGCAAAGAAATCTTAAATTTTATTCAGTAGTCTGTAATCTGATTATCTGTAGCAATACTGGTATTATTTTGAAACTACTGTAGGATGATACAAATAAGCAATTATGTTAATGCTGTTAGAAACCATTTATAGGAAATATGGCGGATAGAAGAACAAATTAAATCTTCACAAGGAAGCAAACAGATAAATCCAGATGAGAGACATTCTAAGGAACAAATGACTGAGTTTTGGCAACAATCCAGTGGCATGGGGGTGGAAAAAAAGGTAGTGAAGTGGGAGAAGGGAATGATTCATTTGAATTTTGACCTGATAATTTCTATCTTGTCAGTTTTCCCATGCTTTTCAAATTCTTTTATTCAGTACTCTCTGCTGTTTTCAGCAGTAAATTCAGTCTGAACAGCCAACTATATATTACCAAAAATAGAGAATATAATGCTTCTATTCTCAAATAAGCACAACAAATTTTATACACTTAAGTAACAAAGATAAACTGATTGGATTTCCAAACTGTTGATTAACATGGGATAGTTGTTCTCTGGTAATTTGTTATACCTTTCACAATGTTGGAGTAATATATCCTAGGACAGTGTGTTTCACCAAAGAATATGTAAATTAATTTACTGCTTAGTCTAGAATATAATAGTTGCCTAAACAGCTGTAATTACTTACTTCACAGACTTACCTAAGATGTAATGTGTCTGAATAACATCTAAAATAAGTTGTAACAAACACTTAAGCCTATAAAAATTCTTCTTTTGAGTTACAGTAATATACTATTATTTTATTTCACAAGAATTTCTTAAATCATAAGGACAGATGGTTACAATTCAAGTATGTTAAAATGTAGTCACCTTTTTCTCCCATCTAAGTACTAACTAGGCCCGACCCCACTTTCTGAGATTAGACGATAAATCTGGTTCATTTAGGGTGGTATGGCTGTAGACAACACCCTCAACCTTTTTCTTTTGGAGAATTTTATAATAATCTTTGAATAATAGAAGCAATTTGGTATGTCCCCAAACTTGAAATAGGAAACATTGCCACTACTATTATTTTGAAATTTTCTATTATATGCTGCAAAATCTGATCCTGATGCAGCCAAATTCATAATGAAATAACATGTTCTTTCTTTCAAACAAAAATACCAGTAAGTATAATGGAACTGGGTAACTCTACTTCCACATGGAAGTAATGATACTTCCAAAAATTAAAAGGAGAGATCTGTTTGCTAAACTGATCCTCAGTCACATCCCCTGAAGCATAAAACATACCGAAGCTGAAATAGAAGAAACGTAAATGTCAAAACAATCATTCCTTATTTCCACAACAATATTGCTGAACGTAGTATTTTTAACACATTATTTTTAAGCGCTAAGACTGATGACTGGTTTCTGAAATCCATAGAAAGAATCTTATTAAAGAGTCCAAGGCCGAACCCTCAAAGTAAAGTGGGAATAAAGTACCTAATCAATAATAAATTTCTAACACTGCAGACTTCTAAAATGTAGGTACTTTTCGAGGAACATTAATCTCATAAAAAAGATGACTCCTAGAGTATAGTTTATTTTCTAAGAAAATAAACTTCAATTTTTTAATACAACAAATTCTACTTAGAGTAAAATTAGGAGTAAAATAATGGCAAATGTAATTTAGAGGAAAACAAAGATTTAGTACCTAGGCATAAACAGATTTTCTTTACATGTAATGTGCTAATAATTGCTGGTTTTTAAATGGTAACAATCTGATAAATAAAATGCCATGACTTTGTTTTCTAAGGTAAATTGGTTATTCTAGAAATTAGATTCGAGTTTTAACAGAGTATTTACACAATCAGTCCACTAAAAAGTGGAGCAGAAACTATCATAAATCTGGTCGTATTTTATAAAGCTCATAATGAAAGTTTTCCTTTTACATTATTTCATGTAATTTAAAAACTGTAAGTTGTTTCCTCAGTAAAATAAAATGTGAAAATTCATGCTGTTTTTTTAACATTAAATCAAATAAATGGTCATATAGTACCAAAGATGTCTCTAGAGAAACAATATTTATATCCACTCACCAAAATAACTCCATTAAGAAAAAAATCTTTAAACCAAAAGACATAAAACATATGTACATTACCACATGAACTGATAATTAAAAACATAAGATGCTCATTAAAAAAATGTAGCCTTGTTTGTATGTAGCCTGGGTCAAATAATCCTTTGTATCATAAAGATAAAGACAAAAATAATCATATTTAAGTACTTTAGTGCTTCCCCAAAAGATGAACAGTTAAGTGGTTGATAAATTTGAAAAGCTGATTTTACATAATAATCACTATGTTGGGGGGAGGTATATAAAAATCAAACAGACTGTATTATGTTATTTTTAAAAGTGACACGACAATGGTACAATTTTAGGGAAAAAAAACATGAAAAGGCAGAGTTAAAAATAGTTAAACTAGTATCTTAGAAAACCATCCACAAGGAAGGCCAAATTCATTTTCAACATTTGTCAACCTATAAAATGAATGAAGAGCAGAAGCATTAAGAAGAACCAAAAATTCTTCATGAGGCAAATGTTAAAATGTGGAACTTAAGCCCAGGCAAATACAGAGAAACGAGTAGGGGCCAGGTCTAATGTGCAGAAGGTTCTCCATTCTACAGCAAATCTGAGATATATGGGTACTCAATGCTGTAAATTAAAAAAAAAATGTTTTTTGGTCCATTTTGTTGCGTGTGCACCTCTTGCAATAAATTTGAGTCAGCACCAATGACAGCTCTGCAGTCCTCCTATGTGGTGCTGATCAGGTGGTTGCAGAGCTTCGGCTCACAGCAACACAATGCAGCTGAGCAGGCAAGCACAGCCCACAGCCAGAAGCGGTTCCCACTTTCCAGAACGAGGCGACCTTTAAGCTTAAGTTTCCCGGAGAAAATGAGATGCTGATGTTGAAGACGACACTATGGTAAGCTGTCATTTAAATCAGTAAAAAATCGACTTCAGAATTTTTGTCTTTTTCCTTTTTATAAGAGAAAGTCAACATTAGGAATGAATATATATTCAATAGCAAGTGCATGCACCAGAAATTTGCTGCAGTGTCAGTTGAGGGATTTCTTTTTAATATGCATTCACTTTGTAAATATACATATTGTTTTCCTTTAGAATCGGCACTGAAATATACAGAAAAGAAATCACTTTATAAAATGTGAGTTTTAAAGGTACGGTGTTGATCTGATTTTTCAAGTGCCTTAAAATGTTTTGCAAGGATATATTTATCCTAAAAAGACAAAGATGAATTTCAAAGTATTGTTTGAATATCTAAATAAAATCTCATCCTACACACACATTGACTATTTCATTACCGCAGAGATCTTAAAAAAAAAAAAAAACCAAAGACACGACAGCCATTTTTCCCCATCTGAGTAAGAAAAAAAATTACAAAAAATAGTAATAGCTTAAGATTCTGACTCTTTATTTGCTGAGAATGTCATTTTATAATATCAAGGCTCTGGGAAGATAAATAAGAAAGACTATGGCAAAAGAAAGGAGAAAAAAAGGAGAAAATGCAGGAGAGAGTAGGGAGAGAGAGTCTCTCTACCACATAGCCTCAATTGAAGGATTAGGCATTTGGACTATAAATGAAGGGGAGCTTTGTTAGTTTAATCACTGGAACAATTATAAAAGGACTCAACAACAACGAGGTTTATTGAAAATTTTGCCTAATGCTAACTGACCCATGCAGATGCCTAATTGTATTTGCATATTAAAAGAAGGGTGTATCTGTTTGTTTCCAGGCTTTGATGGAATATCAGATATTGAAAATGTCTCCCAGCCTGTTCATCCTTCTGTTTCTCACACCTGGTATTTTATGCATTTGTCCTCTCCAATGTATATGCACCGAGAGGCACAGGCATGTGGACTGTTCAGGTAGAAACTTGACTATATTACCATCTGGACTGCAAGAGAATATTATCCACTTAAATCTGTCTTATAACCATTTTACTGATCTGCATAACCAGTTAACCCAGTATACCAATCTGAGGACCCTGGACATTTCAAACAACAGGCTAGAAAGCCTGCCTGCTCAATTACCTCGGTCCCTCTGGAACATGTCTGCTGCTAACAACAACATTAAACTGCTTGAAAAATCTGATACTGCTTATCAGTGGAACCTTAAATATCTGGATGTTTCTAAGAATATGCTGGAAAAGGTTGTCCTCATTAAAAATACACTAAGAAGTCTTGAGGTTCTCAACCTCAGTAGTAACAAACTCTGGACAGTTCCAACCAACATGCCCTCCAAACTACATATCGTGGACTTGTCTAACAATTCCTTGACACAAATCCTTCCAGGAACATTAATAAATCTGACATATCTCACACATCTTTACCTGCACAACAATAAGTTCACATTCATTCCAGATCAAGCTTTTGACCAACTCTTTCAGTTGCAAGAGATAACCCTTTACAATAACAGGTGGTCATGTGACCACAAACAAAATATTACTTACTTACTTAAATGGATGATGGAAACAAAAGCCCATGTGATAGGGACTCCCTGTTCTAGCCAAATATCATCTTTGAAGGAACATAACATATACCCTACACCTTCTGGATTTACCTCAAGCTTGTTCACTCTAAGTGGGATGCAGACAGTGGACACCATTAACTCTCTGAGTATGGTAACTCAATCCAAAGTGACCAAAATACCCAAACAATACCGAACAAAGGAAACAACGCTTGGTGCCACTCTAAGCAAAGACACCACCTTTACTAGCACCGACAAGGCTTTTGTGCCCTATCCAGAAGATACATCCACAGAAATGATTAATTCACATGAAGCAGCAGCTGCAACTTTAACTATTCATCTCCAAGATGGAATGGTTACAAACACAAGCCTCACTAGCTCAACAAAATCATCCCCAACACCCATGACCCTAAGTATTACTAGTGGCATGCCAAACAATTTCTCTGAAATGCCTCAACAAAGCACAACCCTTAACTTACGGAGGGAAGAGACAACCACAAATGTAAAGACTCGCTTACCTTCTTCTGTGGCAAGTTCTTGGAAAGTAAATGCTTCATTTGTCTTAATGCTCAATGCTGTGGTCATGCTGGCTGTCTGAGGGTCCGCATTTTCTGAAACTAATGAAAGAACTCCTTCCTGATGTATAGTTGGGAAAATACGCCCCTATCTAACCAGTGACTCAAGCTATATTAAGTATTCAAGAAAGCCAGTCTTATATTTCTGACACTGATGTAAATGAAGTAACTTGTCTTAAATAAAAGAAGTGCACAATGTCTTGGTACTTGCTGCTATTCTACTGTCTTAATGAAGTAAAACGAATGAGTTTTTTTTTTAAATGAAATGTTTTCTTTTTAAGGCTTCAACTTACTGCATAAAATATAAAGCATCTAAACTTTAATATGTATTTTATGTATGTTTACACTGTCAAACACCTTGGAAAAAATAAAAGGTCTATGCTCATAATTGTGTCATTTGGCTTTCTAGTCATACAAGAATCTGCTTAGTAGAACAAAAATGACTAAACCTTTTTTGTTCCAGGGTACCTTGGTACAGTCTTTATGGCAAATGAAATGTTGGAGGTATCCACGAGTTCTGCCACAAAAGTAAAACTGTGGTTGCCACCCCATGAATGGTTATGCCACATCGTTATTTTACACACAAGCCATAATTGTTTTAAATCTAAATGATGTCCTGCTTCTGAGGAACTCTTGGCTACTTTACAGATTATATAATGGACAAAAAGCTCTTCAAAAAGCTAGAAGACACTAGGCTTTGCATTTTAATAAGGAAAGTTCAATGTCTTCGTTTTTTGCATTTAAGAAAAGTATTAAAAATACAATAAAAAGTTTAGGCTTAAAGACATGTTAAAGGAACAGGTTTAGTGTGTATCTAACAGACTGCTTATTAATGGAAAATTAAAATATTTACAAAATTAAAAGCCTTCTTTGTGCAGGAGAGGGAAATTGATCTTTTGCACATCAGAAGTTAGAATATGACTTACCTAAATTAAAAAAAAGGTGAGTTTCAGGCTAAAATCATGGGGTCTAACCAACTTGGACAGTACTACGGGAGGGGGAGGACAAGGAAAGGAGAAAGGGATTCATCTGGTGCTACAACCTGGCGAGGAACCCAATAAAACAGACAGCAGGACTAGAGCCAGGCATGGATGGGACAGACCTCAACACTCCAAATCAAACTGCACTTGGACTTCAACTAGAAGAAAACTGACAATTTTCTACAAGCATAAAAGTAAGCCACCTTTCGAATTAGAGATAAACATAAGTAATAGCCAAGAGTCAGAAAACGAAGCTCTGAAACAAGGACAGATTGAAATGCAAGACAGCATAATTGAAATGGGTGAGCCACAAATGAGGAACCTAGTTTGCGAGACATAAGGGAGAATCTATTTCAAGCATTCCTAGAGTTGGGAAAAGAGCACAGAAAAATTTTTGTGCTCCTTCCTAAGAAATTTAAAAATTAAGATAGACTTCTTTCCAGGTTTGGGAACATTTCTATTCAGAGACAGAGAAAAGTAACAACCTTCTAACGTGCTTTTCTTTTCCCCCCTTTTTAAGGGGCTTATGGAAAAATTACTTTTAAGCTTCAGTGAAGCAATTCCTCTCCTATACTAACTTAGTACAGTGTTTCTTCAACATTTTTCTGCCCTGGCAAATCTAATTTGCTATTCAGGGAATTTCAGCAAGAAGAAAAAGAGTTATTTGAAATAGTCCCCTAAATGATTGTAAAATGGGCAAGCTATTTCCACTCCTTTCCAATCACTGATCTAGTACCTTCAACATCAGTGACAGAGGCTAACTGCTTGGCTATTTCCTACTATTCTACATGCTTGCATCTTGTTTTAAAAAATGCACACAACGAATTTCACAGAAAGTAGGTTTCTTAGAGGTAACTGTCTTTCACCCTGAGGGTACCAAAAATTCAATGTTGTCTTAGAAATCCTATGAGGAAAAGTTGACAAAAAAGTGAAATTATGGATTATAGCATTATGACCTATGCATTATGCCAACTGTATGATTGATGTGTCTGCAAAATGCAGAGAAAAAAAGCAGTAAATTTACAAGTACAACACATGTCAACTACACAGATTCTAAGTCCTCAGAAAGATTATCCAGACTTACAGTAATCAGATACTTCCTTCTCAGGAAACTGCGCTCTTACCGTTACTAATGGAGAAAGAATCATTATCTGTCACGAAGACAAAAACTACTGCTTTACTGGGCACCATAAACATTTCAAAATGCATTAGTCCTCAGCATCTACTTCTCAAGCTCATAAGATATATATACGCATCCATCCATACCTCAGGTGTGACTTTATTTTACAAGTAACTTTGGTTTCTCACCAGTTAAGAGAATCCAAATAAGAGCACACACATAGTTTTTCCTGGGTAGCACATCTAGCCCTAAGAACCATTAAATTCAAAGAATTACGTACAAAGGTGATTTAAAGTAGAAACATGAGGGGATAGATAAGTATATTTATACTACACCTAATTACCTGAATTTAAGTGAGTTTTTTTAAGGGCTGGTGCAACATGGTTATCACAATGATGGACATGTAGTAGTTTCTCAAATACCTGCCAAGGAAACTGAGGATAGATTTTTGGGATTTTATCCTACACTGAGACTTTCAGAGGTTTTTGTCCACCAAGAACTGTAACTCATTAGAAAATAACCTGTTTTTCTGTTTACTAATCGGGTCTACCTATACCTGCCATACAACAGCATAAATGTTTAGTGAGATATTGAATTTTAACTCACTTGAGACAGGTAGATGGGAATGTGTGATCACTTCAAATTTTCTGAAATGTTGAAAATGACCTCCATGCCACCTCTGCTGTCATGGAAATCTTGGGAAGTCTTGTTTCTGAGATTCTAACCCAGCTTCTCCCACCCTTTTCCCTCCTGGTTCAGGGGTCTTCTCTGGAATAGCCCAGTCAGAAGGTCATCCAGTTTGAAAACGTCATCAGCTTTGAGTACTGTATAGATTTGTCTACACAAAACCTCAAATATCTTCATGCTGGAAACAACAAGCCTGATAAAAATTTTTCAAGAGAAATCATGAAGGAGTTTGTTAACCAAATGCTCATAAATTTGATAAGTACTGAGATTTCCCAATGCTAAGTGGGCAAAGGATACAAACAGGGTGTTTGAAAGAAAAATAAAAGCTAGGAAGCATGGGGATTGGTAAGTATATGAGAATATGGCAAACCACATAATAATCGAGACATAAAAATGTGATACCATGCTCATTACTAAATCAGCAAGCAATTTTTAAAAAAGCAATAAAAATAAATGCTGGGGAAGACATAATGAAACAGCCATCTTCACATATCGGTACAGCTCTTTTGAACAGCAACTGTGATGAGAAAACAGCTACTCTGAGTTGCTGCCTAAGTATTTTACAGTATGACAACCCTGCTCACACACAGTCTGGACATTTGATAAAGACTTGGATTAGAATTCCTACCACAAATTCCCACTTTGCTTTTCCTGGGGCACCTTTTCCTGAGGCAATATAGAATTTAGCTTGTGAAAAGTAAGTGACTGCCATCCCAATCACCTTATAAGAGGCACTTGCTACCCTGTGCCCTATCTCCTGCTTGCTCTTGACCTGGGGCAGAGGACTGCTATCCCCCCAGTTCACTGTGTACCCTCACCATGCCCTACCCCTCAAGTTCTGGGATCTGTATGTAATAAACCTTGTGACTTTACATCCTTTGTGTGAGTGTACTGAAACTGAGCCGTTAATCAAAAGGACCCCAAGAGTTTTCACTTCCTGAGGAAGCTGGGTGAGTTACTGGCTAACCCTGTGTGGGTGGCTTGTGCCTCATCATTCAAGAAGCCATAATCTGCATATTTTAACTTAATATATCAATTATGAAGGGGAGCAACACAGCAATGATCAAAAAATGAAAATATTTTAATCTTTAACCTAGTGGATTCCAGGTAAATACCAGCATTCTTTCTAACAGAAAGAAAAATAAAATGCTAAATATCTACCACTGAGAAACTGGTTAAGTAAATGATGACCCACTGGCCAGAAATTACACATCCAATACAAATGTTTATGTAGAGTATTTTTTTAAATCTGAAATGTGGAGAATGCAAATACTAGAATGATAAGCAAAAATAACAGGATATATAAATATGCATGTTAAAGAACTATGTATAAAAAACAACAGAAAAAGATAAATATGCCAAAATGTTAACATGTATACCAAATATGTTTTAGTACACTCTTTGCTTTGGTCTTTGAAAATGCAAGAGATCTAAGAAAACTGTTTCAACAGCTGTCCAAGGGCTCTAGCTTGAGTAAGAAAATGAGAAGATGCAAAATGAACTATGAAAAGGTAAGGGTAGTCAAGAAACTAGAGGGTATCATGAAGTAAAGATCAGAGACAGAGAAGCACTACCAAGACTTCTTGGAAGCATTTACATATTACATTAGCTTATATTAGCTCTACATGGTTAATTGCTGTCAGAATTGTTCCCAACAAATCTAACCAGACAAACTCTTTTCTCTCCTAAAAGCAAAGCAAATGAACCAAACCAAACCAAACTTCAATAATTTCCCACATCTGAGAATAAAATCTAAATTCTAAATATGGCTTACTATATGATCAGGCCCTTGCTTCCCTTTCCAGTACCATCTTAAAAGTTTCTAGCTCCCTCACACTGTACAGTTCAAACAAAACTTCTCTCTGTCTCTGTGATTCACCATGCTCTCTCTTGCCGCCAGGCTCTCAGAGATTCTGCGTGTCCTCATCAGTACACTCTTTTCCCTTCTTTTGCTTCTTCCCCAGCAAACCCTTATTCATCCTTTTTATTTCAGTTTAGACATTACTTCTTGCTAGGAGGGGTTTTTCTTTTCTTCTGGCCATCTTGATCCGAATTTATTAAATAAAAGAATGAATTAGTACAGATCAAAGACGGACTGGTGGACTAACCATAATCTACGTAAGATAGACCAAGTCAAACCTCCAAGTCTTATTCTAGAGCCTAAGATTCTTCCAACAGGTTAAAGTCATAGCTTCATAGTCTACAAAAAGAAAGATTAAAGAAAAGTTATGAATGAAGGAGGATTTGGTTAGGCTGTTACTTGTCACGTAAGAAATTAGTTCTGGGCAGTGGGGAGCTACCTTTGGAACAATTTCAGAGAGAGGTTAATTCTGATATCTGTGAACAATTTAGTACAAGTAGATTGCTCAAGAGAATTCAAGGAAACAGAAAAAAAAAAAGCCACCTCAGTGTATTAACGTGTTAAACAAATTAGTTTGCTTCACACTTTAAAAACTGTGATACAAGTGAGGTTTTTAAGAAGCTTGTTTTTAAAGAAGCATCATTTTGGTTCAACAACCCCAACTCCGTTAAACACGTTCAGGAATGCTGAGATATACACTCAATACACCCATTTATCTTTTCTATAAACCATGGCCTGAT